GATATATATATATATATATATATATATATATATATATATATATATATATATATATATATATATATCAGAGAAGCATTGAAAAGGTTTGTTTCCCCAGCACTCAGGTAAAGTCAGCTATAATTCAACCATTTTTTATAATATATATGGACAATTTCATCAATACAATGCTGTGACTTTTAAATCCTTTGCCAAAAGTTAACCAAACTATGACTAACTCATAGACTAGATCTTCTCAGACTAGAAATAACTAAAACTAAACAAAAGATAAGCATTAATAAAGTCATAGTAACCAAAAACTCAAGTAGAATGAAAAATCCCAAACTATTATAACCTCGGTCCTCAGCCAATAGTACTTCAATTTCACATTATGTTTATTTCTTTCCCTTGCTATTGTTATCTTTTACATTGTTAATTGTGAAAACACAACCATGTATGCAAAGAAGCATTGTTATTGTCTGTGAATGTGTTTTGGAACGGCGCTCCTGTTTTTATCCACAAATGTTACATAAAAAAAAAATAAAATAATAGGAAGATTAATACTAAAGGTGCAGGTTATTATAGTGAATAGGCAAAACATTTTTTGTGTCTCACTGTAAAGTTGCAAAGCAGCATTTCTCATGGCCCAGCAGGGAGATCTGAGGAGAGTCAGAGACAATATGGCCACATCAGGAGCAAACTGAAGAACAGCTGCTCCCAAACCTGCTCCGCGCACCAACGCCTGCAGAGTGTGAACAGCACACACCTGTGCACAGGATGAAAATGAACACATAGCATTTTATTTATTCTTTATAAATAAAACTAAACTGAAAGCTGCTGCACTGCCAGCAGACCTGTGGGAGGTCCAGGGTTTGGTCCCAGTTCTCATCAACAGGACGTCTGGCCTGTTCTAACAGAGTTTGCATACTGAGGGTCAACAGCGGCCTCGCCTTACTGGCCTCCTCTGCTGACAGAACGCACAGGATCATGATGGGCAACCCTGCAGCACGTCGGGTCACAGACGCCGAGCGGGGGGACTGAACAACCTGCAGTCCCTGAAATCATATCAGAGAGGAACACATCTGTAAGGAAGAAGTTTTCTTTTATTAGCAAAACATAAAAAACTACTGACTTCTTTGAGTATCTGAGCTGGAATATCCTGAAGGTCTGGATCATTGCTGCTCAGCAGAGAGGTGCAGAACTTTGTGAAGCCTAAACAGCAGCCCTCTACTGCCCCCTGGGGATGAAAACAAAATCGGTTTGAGAATATTCAACATCATTGTAATTATGGGCACGAATTTCAGAAAAGAAATGTGTTTGTTGATTCATTGAAACAGCATATTTTACAAGATGGGTTTATCATTTAACAAAGAGCTGAAACTATTTTTAACTGAAAAATCTGTACTTTTTCCTGATCTGCTTGGAGTCAGGATTACACAGACTTCAATATCAACCTAAAAGTAACTTAAACCTTAAAGTTCTGCTAAAGATTCTACAAGGAACCTTTTGAGGATCTAAGAATAAAAAATATAGATAACAAGATTAAAGTGAAAAAAAAAAACTAAACTCAAATACAGATAACATAAAGAAATAAACTCAACTGAAATCAGCTGCTGTGGATATGGGCAAGCCCAATGGTAAAATGTTTAACAGTCAGACTGGATGTATAAAAGCTAAAGAATCATAATTTAGGAATTACATTGTAAAATGGATCAATGTGAGGCTTTTAAAACTGATAACACTGCACTAGCTCTTAAGCATAGCTGCAGAGGAATCATACTAAGGGTCTGTTACTCTACTTAGAATAGAAAATGTAGAAATTGATTGATTTAATGTCTAAAGCCCTTTACAATGAAACCAAACACAAAGGGCCAGACGAAAAAATTCACAGGGGAAAAAAATCTATATGTTTAAGCTAAAACTAAATATGAGAGGTTTGAAAAAAGAGAAAAATAAAATCCAGCCACATACTAAATATATTTTCATTCTGGGTTTAATTCATAAAGTAAAAGTAAGTTTTAAACTAAGGTTAACATTCATTCTATTATAGACCGTCTTAATGAAAGTAAATAGACAGCCTAAAAGGTTTGAGGATCTTAGCAGCAGATAGGGCCATAGTTTGAGACCATAGTATAGGCTGTTTTAACAATAGTGTGATTAAGGGACAACTAAGTTAGAGTCATTTAACCAGGGGTTATATATTTACGTCTGTACGTTCGGACCTAGTATTAGATGGTGATCATATCCATCTTTTACAGCTTTTTTTTTATTGTCATAACACTGTCACATGCTCAGAGCAATGAAATGAACTCTCATTTAATCCATCCCCTTGGGGAGCAGTGTAAGGTTAACGGTCTTTGCTCAGGGACCCAGAGTGGCAGTCTGTGGGCTTAAACTCAGAACCTCAGGATTCCAAGCTCTATCACTCTGCCTTTTTTATTTGTGTTTTCGTCATAATTCATGATAATTAAAGGAACCTAACTTCTGTAATGAAAATAACTGAGGTTGTTTGTTGAATCTAACCCTACAATCCTGGAAGGAAAACTGTTAAAATAAATTTAGTAAAGCTCAACATTAGTGAGTATAATAATGAATGCATGCACGCCGCTGATTAGAGTTGTATATTTTGAAAAAAAAAACAAAAAAAACATACCCAGTGGCGGCAATTTAGAAGAATATCCTTAAATAATTCTGAAGCCCTCCTTAAATCGTCTTTAGCCCAAAGACACTCAGAACGTTGTTTGGATTCTTTGAGAACTTTCTCCACCAAAGATCCTAAAAAAATTCCAGTTTCCTAATGAAAAGAAATGGAGCAGAAGCACAAATCAGTTTTTCCACTTTCTAAAAGCAGACTTGTGTTGAAGGTAGGGATCTAAATCGTGGACGTTTCACCTTAAGAGAGACCCAGCAGCAGGTGAGAACTAGGCTGTGCTCTTCAGACAGCAGGATGCAATCCTCTTCATCCATCTGATCACCTCCAGCCTGCCGGGATATCAGAGAGCTGATGGCGTTTCCCATATCACAAAAGGAAGGGGGAGCATCTAAAGAAGAAAAGTTATTTAGTTTGCATTGTGAAAAAAAAAAAAGATCTGCAATGATCTTTCCCTGCTTCTTAATGTTGCTTGATTACATTTTTCAGCAACAAAAGCCTCCCGGTCCCCATGAAGAACCGCAAGCAACAGCAGAGAAATATTCTCCAGAAGATCCAACAGCTTAGTGATGAGACTTCGGTCAATTATAGAACAGATATCATCAGCTGCCGGCAGCAAACACCTCTGAAGAGCACATAACACGCCTGAAACATAAAAATAAGATTCAAGTTAAGAAAAAGATTTCTCATCATTATAAATATGAACGGCTGATAACGGTCACCATGTATAGGCCTGGTTCTGGCAGAGACCATCATGTCCACTTTGGCCATCAGGTAATGCTCCTCCAGCTCCTTCACTAGGTCTCTAACAACACAAAAGGCTTTGGGATTCCTTCCAGGGTTGACAGACAAACCTAGACTGCAGTCGTCACACCGATGTCCTGATCTACAGGAAGAACAGTCCATACTTAATCATCTAAAAACAAACATCCATTAAACATTTTCATTACAACCATAGTTTTTAAAGCTTGTTGTTCAAAATTATGCACTAAATAGGAGGTCTTCAACAGGGGTCCACGACCCCTAGGGGGTCCACAGCGGTACTGCATGGGCGTTGCAAAACTTTTGGTTGATTAGACTTTTTTTTTATATTCCCCCCTGCAATTTTTTCCACTAATTGAAATGTATTTAAATACACATTAACATGAATTCAACACACTGTAGTAAGCAGATAAATGGAGGCAGAAGATGTCTTTCAGTCTTCAATGCACACATTCAGCGACACACAGCTCTATCAAGCTGGGCACCGTTTCATTCACAACACTTGTCCCATCAACCAGGCAACAGAATCAGAAATACTCCAATAATCCCAGGGAGAAATTACTTTTGTTTCTTTACTCCATCTGTAATAAGAGTGATTATAGGACCAATTGATAAAACACAATTTCATACAATATATATAATTAGGGGGTCCCCACTCCATCTCGCTATCAGTTTGGGGGTCCTTGGCCCGGAAAACGTTGAAGACCTCTGCACTAAAGTATTACATAATGTGCATCAACATAAAAAAGCCTAATTTCTGGAGGAAAAAAACTTTTTTTAAATCACCCTGATGGCAACATCAGGCTGTCAGGATGCCTTTTTTGTTTAAAAGGGAAGCTGATCAGAGTAGATGGGAATATGGAGACAGTTAAATGCTGGACAGTCCTTTAATAGGCTGCAAATATGAGTACATCACTACCAACTCAGCCATGGTTACAAAGGAAATGTTTCGATCTGGAAGTCCTTTTAAACTCTTAAGGGCCGGAATCCTTCATCTTTTCAACGTGTTTCATGTCTAACACATCCAGATCGAACGCATCGACTTCTGCAAAGTTCTGCTAGGAACTTCGTATTTAATTATGGACCATTAAAAACCGCAGTTTATCTTCCGTGGACCAAAGTGAGTGCTTTTAGGGGTCTACGCACTAAGCCAGTGCAAAGTTCTTATGCCTGATGCCCTTCCTGGCATTCAGACACAGGTTCCTCGCATCAAAGACGCAGGTAACAAAAGGAAAGGATTATTTGCACTATTTGTTCGTTTTTTTCCACGACCATAACAGTGCATAACAGTATGAAGAAAACCTCTATTTCTGGTAGTAATAATAGATAAATATATAGAAAGCTTGCTATGCTTTTATATTCACACATAAATCCACATAAATGCATGCAACACCTTTCAGCATTGTATATGTAAAAACCATTAACCAAAAACCACTTATTATTTAAACTTATTCACAATAATTCTCTAAACTGTCCTTTTTTTTAAACACATAAAATCCTGAAACTATGAGGCTTGAGAATGTAAAGGAAACTAAAACTAAAGGGGTGTGAATCATTTTAAAAGATGAGGGCTGAAGAGGAGACGAGGTTTACTTCTGGAGGAGTATTTTCACCATGAGCGCTCCCATCTGAGCCTCCTGCACCCGAGGGCTGCGCAGAAGCTGGCTGCTCCTGACCTCCAGGACTTCAGCAATGTCCGCAGGGAAACTGGGAGGGAAAAACTTCAACAAAATGGTGGCTGAGAGCTCCCTGATCTAAAAGAAATAAAAAGGCTTTGCATTAGATTTCATTCAGGTTAGATGAGGAGAAACGAACGGCTCTGCTGAGATAAACCTACTTCATTTGTAGAGTCTTCTAGACAGCTGAGCAGAAGCAGCTGCTTGGCTCTGCAGAAGAAATCCCACTGTCCTCTCTGTCTGGCACAGGCAATAAGAAGGCCTATATTTGCTGCAATTAAGTCAAACTTATTTATTAAATATCTAAATCACATTAATAACTAATAGGTATGATGCAAAGGAACATGCACATGTAAGAGGACTCTTCAACTTTTTCACATTCTGCTGCGAGCTTTAATGTTGCTCACTGGGATTTTACATGAAATATCAACAAAGTCCATTTTTAATAATGAAATCAAATAACAATCTGTATCAGTATTCCAGCTCTTATATTCTACAATCCGTTAAGTAAATCCAGTCCGAATAAAGGCCCTCAGAAGTCACCCAATTAGTGAATGGAGTTACCTCAGAACTAAGGCATTCAAGGCAAACTAACCAGAAGACCAAGGAAAGGGCCAATCAGAGGCCCAAAGGTACAGAGATCCAGGGTTTTAGTGAGCCGCACTTTTCAGATTTAGCTTTAAATGATTTCCTTTCATTTCACCTTCAAACACATCTTTGATCCTACATATGAGATCCTATTAAAATACATTATGCTTATGAGTCTGCAGTGCAGCAAGATGTTGGAAAGGTTTAAGGGGTGTGAATACTTTTGGAAGGTGCTATACTCCATAAAAAAATCTTTTTCTTTAGTGGCTCACCTGGTGGCTGTCCTTTCTTTTTGTCGGGGCTCCAGGTGTCTGTGCACGTCTCCAGGACTGCAGACAGCAACAGAAGCGCTGTCTTCTTCCTCTGATAGCTGTGTCCAGGTGAAAGGAAGCTGTATGGAAGCTGACCTAACCACTCCACAAAGCCTGGATGATGTCAAAAAAAAAAGAAAAAAAAGAGAGACATAAAAATCAAAGATGGCAGTTTCTAACAGATCCTTTAGCTCTTTTTTTCTCTCACCAATCCCTTGCTTCAGAATATTCTCTCTACATTCATGGCTGGGATCTTTCTTTTTGCCTTTCTCTCCTCTGATGTGTGCCAAGCATCCATCTCTGATACGAACCAGAAACCTTCTCACTGCAGCCTGAAGGTGCTGTCGGAAAGGCGAGGACTCGCAATTCAAATTCTCAGGAATAAACTCCTTCAGTATCTTCATCTCCTCTGTGCTGGGGACGTCTCTGGTCTTTGGGCTGCAGCAGAGCAGGTTGAGAGCAGCCAGACGGATTTTGTCATCCGCAGCCCCAAGAGCCAGCTCCAGTGTTAAAAAGGTGGAGCTTCCCTGCAGAGCCCAGGGCGAGCAGCCACTGATAGCACGGTAGGAGCTCAGGATGCACGCCCAGGCGTGCAAATGGCCCGGCTTGTTGGGGTTTAAGGAGGCGAGCAGGTGATGCACGGCAGAGGAGAAAACCTGAAAGGTGCAGGGCAATAAATGTGTGGAGCTGTTGTTCTGTAGAAGAGTGATGTCAGATGTAAGAGCCTCCACCAGGAAAGGCTGCCAGCTCTTTGCCCAGCGTCCTGCGAGTTCCAGCTCAGAGAGCGAAGCTGGAGACTCTCGCCTTTGCTGCTGGATCAGACACTTATAAAACTCTGCTGCACAAGGTGACAGGTGATTGGTCGATAGGCACTTCAAGAGATGACTGGAAACCTCAGTGTATCGATTCAGCATCTGAATAAGAACAAAGACACACAAAAAAACCATCAGTTACTAAAAGTAATGTAAAGAAACTTTCCAAACACTGTTAAATGCTCACCAGATCCGTTCCCACATACGGCAGCAGAGCACAAAGGCGGTGGTATTTGGCTTTTGCCTCCCAGGGTAGTTTCAATAAGCGCTCAAGAAGGATAAAATAAAAATTCCTCTTGGTGTCACAAAACTGCTCAGAGTCCATGGCATAAAGGTTCAGCAAGAGAGTAAAGGCACTGCTGGCAAGCTCAGGCACCCCATCTATCTGCAAAACACAGACGCACACAAGCTAATAAGGATGAAAGTGATGGGATTTTTAAAAGAATAAACCAAACCATCTGATCGGTAAATGCCCCCTTTAATCCATCTATCCATTTTCTGTCACGCTTTATCCCAGCTGGGGTCACAAGGGCTGCTGGTGCCTATCTCCAGCTGTCTACGGGCGAGAGGCGGGGTACACCCTGGACAGGTCACCAGACCATCACAGGGCAACACAGAGACAAACAACCTACACACACACACCTAAGGAGAATTTAGAGAAGCCAATTAACCTAACAGTCGTGTTTTTGGACTGTGGGAGGAAGTCGGAGTACCCGGAGAGAACCCACACATGCTTAGGAAGAACATGCAAACTACATGCACAAAGACACTAGTCCAGGAATGAAACCCAGAACCTTCTTGTTGCAAGGCAGCAGTGCTACCCACTGCACCAGTGAGGAGCCCTGCCCCTTTAATTGGCTTCACATTTATTTCCCCCTGGGAAAAAAATACCTAATAAATGCATTGAGTAACACTGCCAAAAACATGACAGTGTGTGTTATTTCTGAGGATTTTCATTTGCTGTACAATAATGATCGATGACTCACTGGGCTTTCTGCATTGGTCCAAATAATGTCGGTGAGTTTCTGCAGCAGCCTGCTGTCGTCAGGCAGGAGGCGGGCGCCGGTCGCCTTCCAGATATCATCAACACACTCTTTCACTCTCCTCAGCCACAGAGTTAACACTGCAACAGTGTTTTGGGTTTAAACAGAAAACCAAATAACTTAAAGGGGCAAACAGACGGTATGGATCTCACTCACCCTCAAAGGCAAAGTAGTGGCAGTCCTGCTTCTCTGCACAAAGATTAGAAACAAGAGGAAACAAACCATCCAGCAGCAAACAGGTCTTAAAAAAAAAAAAAAGAAGGCATTATAGACATTGCGCTTGGAAAGTTCAGCACCTGTTTCATGGTAACTCTCTCCACCTGAAGGCCGCTGGGGTTCGGACTCAGTAAGATGTGAGATCGACAGCAGGTGAGGAGGCCTCTGCTCAAAGCCAATCGCTTCACTCCGTCCTTCCCTGCTGGGTTGCACTGAACCTGCAGAACCCCCACAGTGAGCTGGAAGGGTTCTGAGAAACAGCAGAAATAAAAGCCGTCCGTCAAAAAAAAAAAGTGTCTAAAAATGTGGGAAAAAATTATTTGGTGCGGTAAATCTGCTCATGCATTATAACCTGAAAGAGTAACATCACCAGGGCTAACATTGTTGGTATTACCAAAATTACAGGTGTTTAACCATTTGAACATTTTTATATCATTCTGTTTCTATGACATTATACGGATAATTCCAAAGATGGAAGACAAAATAAGTATTTTTATTTTTTTTTCCACTTCTATAATGGTCTTCTTCAAGTTATTTTGTAATGCACGTTAAACATTTTTACACCGGTTTTTCATCACCTTGCTAAAAATAAATCTGTTTCTGGTATACAGCTGGTCCTCCTCCAGTTCAATCTGCTAAATGTTCCTATTTGACTTTGAGGTATTTTTATTCATAAAACATGTAACTGTTCCAAAATAACAGTTTGATTCACCTGAACAAAGAGCATTTACGCTCAAAAAGAAACAATTCACCTTCTTTACTTTTTTGTCAGACTGTTTCAAGTAGGTCAAATTTACTAGCAGCTCCCAGTGAGTAAAGCTGGGCTTTGTGGATCCTTTCTTTTTCCCTGTGTTGAACTGGCTGCTTGTCGTGAGAAATCTCCTCTAATTTAAAATAATGAGGCTTGTGAATTGACAGAAAAAACCCCGACAACTCTCATTTGCTCCACCTAATTGATCACTTGATTTATTCTTCTAAAATATGATAAATGATATTTACGGGTGGTTGGATGAGCGGCCTGCAGCAGGCTCCATGCTGCAGCGTCTGCAGCTCCGCTCTGAGACGCCGTGTTAATCAGCATCGCCACAGCAGTTCCTGCCAAAAGACGCGTGTCCCTGTTGCAGCACTGCATGATGGGTCAAATAAATAGCTTTAACAACACATGTATATCATCTGACAGACAATATGCTGTAAAAAAAAAAAATACACCTGTCCAATGATTATGTCCATAAGAGCCTGCAGGATCCTCTGGATTGCCTCTTTGCTGCCGTTCTCCTCCCAAACCAGAGGAGCAACTTCACTCCACAACAGCTGAAACACTTGCAAACACACCTGCAGCCGTTAAAGTTCACATGTTAGAAGGAAAGTTGAGGTTATTTCAATACAGCCTGCTCTGCGCTGTGATTCCTATTGCATGTTATATATGTACTTTGACAGCAGTGTAACAGATCAGTCCATCTCTCTGGGATTCCTCTTGTAACAGAGCAGGGAGAGTTTCTGATAATCTCTGTAGCATGGGCACGCAGGATTCCAGCCAAATCCTCCGACCAACTGCACTGTCCTCCAGGAACATACAAGCTAGAATCATGTAGAAACAGTTAAATAGATGTTAGATCAGAGACGTACTAAAATACTATGCTATGGTCGCTCTGCACTTACCTCTCTGCAGATCCTCCAAGGAAAGAACCTGAAAAAATTAATCCAAATTATTTCCAAGAACTGAAGTGATTTTAGGAAGTGATCAAACTAGGGCTGAAACTAATGATTATTTTGCAAATCGATTTATGTGTCAATTATTTTTTCAGATTATTTGATTAATAATCATACAACTAAAGGTTCCTTAAAGAATTTTTCACTAAATTAAACTGGGTGAAACTAAAATGTTTCCACTTGAAGGGTTCTGGATAGAGCATATTGACAGACGAAAAAGTTTTTTTAATCTTAAATGCAAAATATTTACATATTTTTTTACATTTTGATATAATTACTGCTCCATGCGGGTCTCTCTGTCAGCTAAAGACATGTTTCACAGTCTCTATACTCCAATTAACAATTTATCGATTACTAAAATAGTTGGCAATTATCCTTGATGAATGATGATATCAATAATCGATTAATCAGATTCATTTTTTCAGCCCTAGATCAAACGAATTCTGTCACATGCAGCCATATTTTTCTTTTCTGTTTGTGTACCTTTTTTGACTGATCAAAAAAAGTCTAAATTTGAATTTAAACGATGAAATGTGGCATGAGTCTGTATTCATTCACTCAACACGGAGAGTCCTGCTGTGATGAACTTAATCACATGGTAAATACAGCTGTTCTGGGAAGGACTTTTTAAGCACTAAATAAAAGCTTACCTTAAGATACAAAACATAAAAAAATAAGTTGACTAAAAAGCCAACATTTAACACTAGCAAACCATCTAAGAGGAAGTTTGAAGACATGAGTTCTGAGATGATTTCTTAGGTCACCGTGGACCATAAAGCTGGCTGCCAAGCATTCTGACCAAGCTGTCGATTATCCACTGAGGTTTTGTTATAGTCAAGGCACAGGCGTAACTTTCTGAAGGCCTGGTGGGGACAGTCCCAACCAATTATCTTTGCTATTCTTTCCCTTTCCGTTAATTTACTTTAGCTAAAGGTAACAGAGGTTGGGTGCAGCTGTCTGTGTTCAGAGCGTTTTTAGTCCGTGTTTTTTTCCCTCTCTCCCGTTGCTCCTGTGTCCCGCCTTTCAGTGTAACATCATCAGATCTGTCGCTTTGAGACATCTGATTTATGGCCACATTTCACTGCGTACAAAGTAGCTACGTGGTTGGAGGAGAGACACACAGCAACACTCAGTGAATATTAACCAGCAGCTACTTTCATGTTTAAGTTTGAAAAATTAGAGATCATTCCACCGAAAAAGATGTTAGACATCTAAAAACTGAGCTTTTTCATCTAAAAACTTCATCAGATTGTAAGTTTATACAACTTAGTATAATAATGCAAGAAGCTTAAGAAAACATAGTTTGTTCTTCTTCACTAGTTAAAAAAGCTTGGCTTGTCAGAGGACCATGACTCCCTATTACAGGTTAACATGTTTTCTTAGAGTACAGACAGAATCAGACTGCAGAGCTTATACGTATCTTGAAATTTAGTGTCTGGCATCATTATATTAGTAAAGAGGTTCATAAATCTTTTTAAACAGAGAGAGGTGGGGAGAGCTGCAGATTTAAGGTAAAACAGATTTACTGGGATATGCAACATGCAATAAAATATATCTCCATAGAACTGAAATTGTTCTTTTAGGGATGCATGATATATCGATTTTGGCATCGGAATCGGTTATTTGTTATGAAAGCGTTCGGGTGGAGTAACTGTAGCTCCATCACCCACCACCCAAGTGTCGCCACAAACTTTCATGACAAAGTTACACCCTTGAGTCAAGGCATGATGAAATAGTTGGGTACTATTTTTGGTAAATTTAAATAGTAAACTGAACATCACTGTAAGCTTCCAAGTAACTGTTATTTAATCTGCCTGTATGATATGACTGATCTCTAGAAACTGTGTTACAGTTGAGTTTAAACTCAAACGCCTTGAGATAATAATTGAACTTTATTGATCTCACACTGGAGAAATTTACCTCTGCATTTAACCCGTCCCCTTGGGGAGCAGTGGGCTGCCATTGTGAGGCGCCCGGGGAGCAGTGTGGGGTTAAAGGTCTTACTCAGGGACCCAGAGTGCAGGCTGTGGGGATCGAACTACTACTTGCAACCTTCTCAGATCACAACACACTGCTTTAACCAGTAGGCCAACACTCCCCAGGTGAATTAATTTGCATCAGTTCATAATTTGTTATATGTGTAATGTGCAGTATAATTGAAAACAAAGCATCCAAACACCAATGATGGTGTGTGTACCTGATCACTTTTCACTATGGAGTCAAAGATGTGCAGGGTTTCTTTATAAACCAAATGCTGATCCACATTTTCTGCCAGATGCTGCAGCATCTGTGGAGCAGAGATTCAGTTTTCATTATATATTATTTTGTTATGTTATTTTACAAGAAAAGCATCAAGTTGTGGAGCTCACCCGGTCCACTTTCCGGCAGGCTGTGGAAATGTTGACCATCTCCAGCTGCAGGGAAAGGAGGAGTCTGACCAGAAGCAGCTTATGCTCTTCCTCCAAACCATGAAGCTGTTCCTCTGAGATCTGCCTCATGAGCTGGACTGCCTCATCCAAACTGCGCTCCTTGCTTCTTTTAACGCTGCTCCTGTTCGTTTAAACAAGTGGCGTTTTTATTAGGTTATAAACGGTGCATAGATACTTAGAAAACGTTTCACAAACCTAGAGGATTCAGAGAGTTTATTGACAAACAGCTGGAGGATCCTGCTGCCATTTCCAGGTGTTAGATCTTCACTGATAAGTAAACCCTGCAGAGTTTTCGTCAGATTTTCAAACGACATTTTAGATTTTATTCCTAAGTGCGTCTGCCTGGTGTTAGGACATGACTGAAAGCACGCTGCTGTTACTGCTGACAAACTTCTACTTCTATGATTCGGTGTAGGGATCACTCTGCGACATGCTGCCATCTAGCGGCCGAAACTTGCATAAACTGAAGTGACTTTAGAGTTCAAAGAAATTTACAAAAATATTATTTTTTTATTCCTTAAGGGGACTTATATATATGGAGCTGCGCCATACATTTGTTTTAAACTAAGCTCGTGTCCTTATAACAGAAATTTCTACATGATATATTTCTGTTTGAGTTTTATTTTAACATGTATGGATATTAATCTGTATGGCGTGCCAGTAACCCCCTTATTTTTCTCTTAAAACACTCTAAATAACATTAAATATTGCTCCTAATTTTTGACTGCTTAACTTAAACGGCACCCCATAGATCCGTTCTACTTTTAGCTGAATAAGATCCACCTTTCGTTTCCTTTTTTGTTTCGAACAAATTCTGGACCCACTTTACATTTACCGGTAATGTTTCGGAGTTAAAGAGAATTGGGTTTACGTTAACTTTAACATATTTAAATGTATGTATATTTTTTTGTTAAAAAAATTTACAAAAACAATAATTTTCAATGTATATCTTATTGTGTTATATATATGGTAAATCTATTAAATTCTCAAAGCAAAGATTTGCATAAATAACTAATGTTTCAGTCCTTTAAAACTGAATAAAATAATTTTGAAATATCTTTCAATCCTATATTACCTATTAAAGACCAAATGTAAACCCATTTACAACATTTTTTTTTTAAATTTCAATGTTTGTTTAATTGCTACCTCACATTTTTCAATCAGTTTTTTAAGTCAGTATATATTTAATATTTTTTCTTTTTATTATTTTGCTTTTAATTTGCATTTTGACTGCAAAATCAAGCAAATATAAAATATGAATATACAAATATAAAGAAAAGGGGATACCTTGCGTTAATTCTAAAGCAGCCTCTGCTTGTGCCTCACAGACTAAGAGATTTAATATTAAAGACTTAACAGATTTTCTAAATATACAGGCACAAGACATGACTTTGAATAATATAATGTTGTGATTTGTTTAGATGGAATCTGAAGCTCTCCAACTAGTAAATGCAAGATCATATGAATGCAGTTCTCATTTTCAATTCTAAACCTACATTAGCAATGTCCTTTTCAAAGGATAAACATATATGTTTAAATTAATAAATAATGTGAATGTGTTAGACTGTGAGATGGTACATAGACTTAGCTGAGGCAATATCACTGCAGAAATTACATTATAGAGGATACTTTATTATTGGGTGGTCACCAAAAGTAATATTTTTCGCTGCTTTTCATTGTGTAAATAGAGCTTATGGTATTACATAACATTTTACAAACCAAAAAAGACTAAAACATAATACATAGAAATGGTTAGATCTGGGTGTAAATATTGAAGAATCTGTTTGAACTATAATAGGTTTAAATGTTCTAGAGAATTGCATTAACATAAATAAAACATTTGAAATTGAATGCGTTTGCTTTGTTTTCTTGTGATCTCATATTTTAACAGTGGTCCACAGCATAATTAAGAGACAATCCAGCAAAATGACTTCTTTTTGATGCTCATGTGGGCATTGTAAGTTGTACTTATAACTTTTCCTACTTCACAAATAATTTAAATAATTATTTCAAATTATTTATGTGAATAGTTTTGGAAATGATCCAAATCAGCAGAATTTTAACTGATGCTGTTTTTTTCTTTCCATAAAAGTTTTATTAAATAATGTTCAAGTTTAGAAGTAAGGACTTAAATCATTAAGATTTCATAATCCTTGGACCAAATTAACATCCTCAATGTGGTGCAATACAGATTTCCTAAATATATGATGAACAATTTCAAATATAGATTTGTTAGCAAGATTATAAAATGATCATATTCACCAGAGAGGAGAAATATTTCGGGTTATTTCAGGTGTTAAACATACTCTGAGAAAATGCATGCTTTTGATACCAACCTGAACTGATGATGTCGCTGTTGTTCATTTCAATCATAGTTCAGACCGTTTCTCCTCCCAGAAGAAGAATGCTTCTTGACGATGATTGGTTAACACGTTGCTAAGAAACACCAGACGGTTTACAGACATGTCTCCTCTGCCTTCTCAGCAAAATGGCTAATGTCGGTTTCCTTTTTGCGTCTATTTCTGGATGGACAACATTTATAATATTATTCATTTCCTTAGCCTGCCCTCAGAAAATTGTTGGTAAGACCTTTTTCTACGCAATTTGCCCATTTATCTAGTATTTACGTAACACAAACTAGCTGTAAATTATAATGCTACTGACTCACAAATAGCCGTTTGGTGATGCTTTTTAAGTAATTTGATGTATCTCACATTAGTGGATGGAATTAAAACTGAAAGAATGTTGTATGTTTCTTTTTTTCATTTAATAGTTTTTCAGCCTTCCTTTCTCATCTCAAGCGGACCAAAAGTCACCTCATTTCTGCTCGGAAAAACATCAGGGATGTCATTGCATCTGAGGACGGTTTCTGTTTCCAACTCCACAGGTAGAAATAAATAATAATACATAATTTACAGAACATCTATTTGAGGTAGTCAGGGTAGTTCTGTATTATATTTCACCTGAATGGTGGAAAAACATCTAATTGCTAAAATTTGTAAGATCCCCCCCCCCACACACACACACACAGACACATTTTAACCCCAAAAGCTTATTGCGTTATTTTTAGATTTGTAAGCGACTGATCTTTGCTAAATGGTAATGGTTATAGTAAGTGGACCACGCTTTATCTTAACCATAGTAATCACAACCATTCATCCTTTTGGAAAGGGGACCTGTGCATTGGTTTCAAGTAATCTGCAACATGTGACAACTTCTCTTTCAGGAATGCACAAAATATATCTTCATCCCCCCTCCTAATAACTCTGAGCAGATGCTGCTAAAGAAAAGCTTGCCAACCTATTACTGTGTATGCCACCATGCTTTAAACTGGTTGTGATATGGTTGGGTTGTTCAAGTGGTGAAACATTCAGTTTTAACTTTCTCAGACTTTTTTCCACATATTTTCTTTCTCCTACTTTGCTTGGGGGGGGAGAAAAAACTGGATTAGATTAGATTAGATGGGCTTTATTGATCTCACAGCGGAGAAATTCACTGGTCACACATTGGCATAGTAATTAAAGAAGAAGGTGCAAACAAGGAGGAAAAAGGTGCATTAAGAATAAACAATATGTATACAGTATATCAAGGTATATACAGTATATCAAGATTAATAAGGATTAAGATTCAAGTGTACATGTATCACACACAATGAAAAACTAAATAAAAATAAAGAATAAAAAATACAAGGGAGTAGCACAGAGATTTGAGGTGTCACATGTACAATCCGGATGGCTTATATACAGGTGGATTTAATTTTTACATTAAAGTGTAGTAGTTGAGGAGCAACGGTGAGGTAGTGGTATGACTATTCTATTCAAATATATTGCACAGTCAGCATATTGCACAGAATATTGCACAGTTGATAAAAAAAAAAAACTATAATATAGCAGCATAGTGGTTTTTACAGGAGTTATTGTGGTTATAGTGCATTATTATAGAGTCTGGTGGCAGCAGGAATGAATGACCTGCGGTAGCGCTCCTTCTTACAGACAGGGTGTCTAAGTCTCTGACTAAAGGAGCTGCTCAGCTCCTCTACAGTCTGGTGCAGGGGGTGAGAGGTGTTGTCCATGATGGATGTGAGTTTGGACAGCATCCTCCTCTCAACCACTTCTTCTACTGAATCCAGAGGGCAGCCCAGGACAGAAGTGGCCTTCCTCACCAGCTTATTCAGTCATGATTTTGTACAGCTTTCTTTACACAATGTTTTTCTGATTCACTTTCTCTCATAAAGGCCAGGTTTAAGAAGTGAGTGACAAAGAGATGTTCAGTAAACATTTTTTCCAACCTGAGGAATGAATCTCCAGAGTTACATTTTGTTTGCAATCTTTAAACAACACTTTTATTCATATCAAATGACTTTAACTGGAGTTAAACTAAGTCAGAGAAAAGGAAGAGTGTTTCCAGTGCTATCCTTCACACCAGGTGGGTGTCTATCTGACCCATACCTTAAGTTAACCTTACTCAAAGAGGAGGATTTCTTTGATCCTGACAAACAGGGATATCCGCTTCAACTAACATGACTACCGAGGGAAATGATTAAAAAAATAGAATTTATGCCTTATATCATTATATTATAGGTGGGAAAACCCTTTTCTAATTAATGAATAACTATACATATCTATTAGATTTAAACTGCTAAGTATATTAAGGGTTTTTCTTAAATAATAGAGATTATTTCTAACACTATCTTTCACAGGAAGCATAGATCCATCATGTGTAGCAGAAGCAACACGGTGGACACTCGCCACTGAACAGATGGGAAAGGTAAAAAGCACATCCTCTTTTATCAGTCATTGAATATATAGGCACAACAACTTAAAGGAGATACAAACCACCTGTGGTTTACATTCATCCCCATCTATTTTTCTGTCTAGAGTGCACTTCGAGTTCATCTGACTTTAAATCACAGCCTGCGTTTGTGTGGTGATAATGAAACAGACGCTGACTGCTGTGCAAAACCGCTGTGTGTCCTGGAAACCCTTCAGGTGTCAGCCTGCATTGGAAGCACACCACAGGCATCATTGCTGATCCAAGCCACCACAAACGCCCGGTTGTTTCCTTCTAATGCAGGATATGGTGATTGGAACTTAAAAAACATTCTCATCCTAATATAAAATAAGAACTTTAAAAGTAGAACATTTCCTAATACATTAGCCATTTGTTCATTTTCAGAAAACAAAACAGTATTTCCTAACCAAGTGTACCAACCGCTTGGTGCTTGTCCATGTGACCTGACATCCGGGACGTGTGACCCTCGCTGCTGTTGTGACAAGGTGCTAATATCAGTCTAGATTTCAGAAAAATGTAACAAAATTAACAAGAAAACTCCATCTTCTTTTTTGTTAATCTCTTCATCTGTGTTTTACTTCTCTCAGGACTGTTCCAGTGAAGATCTCAAGCTTTTTGAATCCCACTGTCTCCCAGGACCCTTTGGAGGACAAGTCTCCCCTGCTCCAGATTACCAGTGCTCTATGCAATCTGCTGAAAACTCCCCAGACTGGTTTCCATTTTTATGTGTCACTTCTCCGGCTGAAAATAACCCCTACCTGGGTCTCTTCTACCAAGGAGACACAATGTAAGAAATTATGTTATTAATGGTTTTGTTTTTGTCACTTTTCTTATTTTTTTTCTGTAATTGCTGAGCTTCATACTTTCTCTTCATATAACCTGTATAGTGCTCCCAGGCCAGGCCCGTCCTTCCAGATGCCTGCTCTCTCTGCTCCAGTGCCAGTTAGTATATATGTTCAGGGAAGTCCTATTATCACATCGGATAACAAGTACTTCACTGTGCCACAGGTTGGTAGTATATGTGCTATCTGATCATTTCATTTTAAAATGTTTGTATCATATATTTCATGGCTTTCTGTCAAACTTATAATAACTGAGGGCCTTATCTTCAGATTGTCAACAAGGAGTGTTAAATGCATGTGCAATTATTATTTTTTTGTTTAATGTGCATGTACAATAGGTGAATGCACTGCATGTGATCTAAAAAGATTGCTCGCGAACCCTTAAGTCATGCAAACCAGTTTGGTCCGCCCTATTTAAAAATAAGCACGATGCATGTGATGCTGGAAGTCTGGGAGTGCCCATAAAAAGAAAGATTAGGTTCTAAGCCATGCAGTTGACGTTAACAATGATACTTATTATTGGGAAAAAATTAGTAATGGTAATATATCTATTGCACTCCTCATAGTTAGCCAAGGTGACGTATGGGCTAGAAAATATAATGATAAAATAATCAACATAGAAGCATAGAACGATAAAAATATTATAAAACATTGAAATATGGTATTTTCCTGTTGACTGATCCCCCATTCCACACCTCCCCAACAGAGAGGACCCACTGTCAGATTTACAGCTGAATACATTCTAAACAGCCAGATTTACATCCATCAACTTTCATCACCAGACAAATACTGTAGAGCCACAATGATTTAATAAAACATAACCATGCTTCCTGAAGCGCCTGTTGAAGAACAATGAGGATTTATTATAGAAATCTACTATTATTTTTTTAGGGTCCAAATATCTCCAAATGCACACAGAATCTCTTCATCGTCTGGCATTGTACTGATGCCCTCTTTATGGCCACAATGACTGAAATATTTGAGCGTGAGTTTGCAAATTCTGTGGCCGCAGTTAATTTTAGATTTGAAAAAATTCTTTGAATCTGGTAAATGTTTATATTTGAATATCTTCCACTCATTAATATGCATTGCATTAGAATATGAATTGCATATGCACACAAACAGGCAAAAAAAAGATATTGCAAGCCATAACTAGCTATACTTCAATGAAGATCAAACGATTTTCTAAGAAGGAGCAAATCATTTTGTGCCTTTTTTTGTAAATCTGGTGCGCGTATACAAATATGGTTTAAAGATGTGTAAAACTTTTTGGTGATCAGGCCTTAAGACTTGGCTCATGTTTCCCTTTTAAAGATGGTCCTGGGAAGGTGCATAAACGGCGCTCCTGTTGCCTTTTTGCAAAACTTTAAACTGGAGTGTGTGACGCTGATCCACTCATGTCCAACCGGTCCTCCCCTAAAAATGCTGGAAAAAGATTTGAGCCCTGACGTGCTAAATGGACAAGGAGGTGGGTTTTACTTGCTTTCATCGCTAAAGTTGCTTTTTAATGTGCTTTGAAACTTGTCTGGTACATGTATGCAAGTGTATGTTGTTGTTTTTTTAATAAGCAGGTGTTGTGAAGGTGAATTTAACTGATGAAGAGGCCCCTGATCTGAGTCTCTTCCTTTCAAGTGGTCAAGTTGATTTTACATGTATGTAAATTTAATTACTAAATCAGATCAAGCTGACCAACCTGCCCAACATCTAATCTAAAATGAGTTTGTTTGTTTTTTTAAGCTGAAACGCTGGTGTGTGAAAACGTGACCTTAGCTCTGGATTACAAGTTCTACTGGAAAGGAAATGGCATCACCAGTATTTCACTAACACGCACTGTTGGGACAGTCGTCTTAAATGGAAGTTGTAAGTTCCTACAGTGCTGGTGTTTGACTGAATGCATCACTATTTAATGTGATGGGTTTGTGTGAGATTGACAGATTTTGCTGTCCCTTCCTCTAAACAGTGGCTGTAACTACTAGATACTCTGCCGTGTTTCTAAATGGAGAATCTGCGGCTGAGCCCAATTCAGGAAACCCAGGTACAAAATAATACATTTTGTTTCAAGTGTTTGTTGATATTTCAACTCCTAAAAATGACATTATAACTTTAAATGACAGGTTATCAAGTGGGACGGCCTCTAATTGCTGGTGTTTTGGATAACAATACAGAATTAATACAGAAGACATTGATTAATAGTTGGAAACCAGGTAAAAGCCAATCAGTAGTGTTTGTTACTTTTAAGTAACAAACAAATAAACACATTTTAGTTCATTAGAATTAATAACCTGCCTTCTGATCTTTTGATAGCAGGTGATGGACTTTGTTCCAGCGCCGTCACGAAGCCGGTTCTGTTTGGGGAGAACTCAACTTCAGGTTGCTTGCTGCCACTGCGGCAACTAAATGTGACGCAGTGTGATCTCCTGAGGTTGGCCGCTCATCACTGATTTTTTTATTTTAGTGTATGTGTGACTACAGTGGCCTGTAAAAAATATTCATTCCACTTGAGACTGTTTACATTTAGTCCTTTTACAATTACGAGGTACAATTACAAAGGATGTTGTTATATATTAGAGGCCACCTGAAAAGATAACTGTGAAGAGGGTTACTTGTTCTTCATAATGCTGTTTGTTCACCACTCTGATAAACCTCCAAGGACAGAACAGCAACATTTATACTGAGGCTAAATCTCACACAGTATGACTGTTTTCTTAGCAGTCGACATCTGAGGGCACTTTTACGTCCCTGTATGATTTCATTTCCCTTCACAGTGACAGGATTTTCAGTGATTTGCCAGAAATTATTAAAACTTTAATGCTTTTGGATTGGAATGCAGTGTGTGCAGTACATATAAATCAGTTCGACTCGTGTTTTTTTTGTCACGTTTTAGAGAAACTGTTGCTGATCTGCAGGCAGCTCTGACCACAGCAACATATGTTGCACGGCGTGGTAACCCAGACATTACAACCATGACAGATTGGCTGAACATCAGCTGTAAGTAGATCAGTAGTTAATTATTCCTCTAATTCAACTTTTTTTTTGTTTATAGCTTTTACCTACATTTGTATTGTTGTTTTTATATCAGAAATCTTCTCTAAATAATTTACTAAATAAATTTTATGTAGTCGTGACACTGAACTCAAGCACAGCGACTGGAGCCACTGCAGGCATCTGCAGTGATATTCCCTCCCACAAACACATCAGTGTTTGGAGCCTTACCACCAGCCTGGTAGATGGAATACCCCAAAAGGAAATCCAAGCTTTGGAAGTCCGGTATCAACACAATTACTTGCATTTTCTCAGCTTGATTCTAGTTGTGGCAAATATTTCAAAAATTTGTGTTTAAGGTAACACGTATTAATGGGAATATCTATGTTGTTTGTTGTTGTTTTTTTTAGTTATAGCATGTCCACTTGGGCACTAGGTTGCGAAGGGGGCGACTCCTCTTTGTGTGAGAACCCAGAAGAAAATCAATTGTTCCCAGTCACCTCCTCAGTCACTTTTATTGACATTCCTTTTAATACTGGACCACCTAAAAACAGGTGCATACGCATTTTAAATGCTGATACTGTCGTCAGACCAAGCAGGTTTTGAAACATTTAATTTATTCGAATTCATTCTAAGACGTTGGTGTACTTTGTTTGTTATAGGTTTCAAATTAACTTCACAGAATATGACTGCAACAGGAACGATGTGTGTTGGCCAGAGCTGGCCTTTCCCTTCACCAGATATTATACAGGTAAGGATTTAGCTACCGGTAATCATAATGTGGAGGTTTACTTTCCTTCTGTAGATCATTCCTTATAAAGAGCTTTACTTTAGTATAAAGTTATTGTGCAAATAATGAAACGAATAACTATGCTATGACTTTAAACTCAAACAAGATGATATACTGCTGCAAAATCGCATTTTCAAAATTCAGAGTTAACCTATTTAACTCTAAATGGAGTATTTACAACTAAACTGAGTGTAAATCTGCTCAAGTGTTGGAGTTAATAATTAGTGTAAAATTTGTCAGCCATGCTGTGTAGCTTTTACTCTATATGGTGTCAATTACCTATCCGTCTATAAAAGGTCTTCTTGATTTTTCACACTAAATATGAGTAAAATTACCTCTGAAGATTAGACGCTAGCTAAAGAGTACATTTTACACTCATTTGGAGTCAGACCATATGTTATCTGAAACAGTTATTTTAAACTCTATAGGNAGTCTCTGACTAAAGGAGCTGCTCAGCTCCTCTACAGTCTGGTGCAGGGGGTGAGAGGTGTTGTCCATGATGGATGTGAGTTTGGACAGCATCCTCCTTTCAGCCACTTCTTCTACTGAATCCAGAGGGCAGCCCAGGACAGAAGTGGCCTTCCTCACCAGCTTATTCAGTCATGATTTTGTACAGCTTTCTTTACACAATGTTTTTCTGATTCACTTTCTCTCATAAAGGCCAGGTTTAAGAAGTGAGTGACAAAGAGATGTTCAGTAAACATTTTTTCCAACCTGAGGAATGAATCTCCAGAGTTACATTTTGTTTGCAATCTTTAAACAACACTTTTATTCATATCAAATGACTTTAACTGGAGTTAAACTAAGTCAGAGAAAAGGAAGAGTGTTTCCAGTGCTATCCTTCACACCAGGTGGGTGTCTATCTGACCCATACCTTAAGTTAACCTTACTCAAAGAGGAGGATTTCTTTGATCCTGACAAACAGGGATATCCGCTTCAACTAACATGACTACTGAGGGAAATGATTAAAAAAATAGAATTTATGCCTTATATCATTATATTATAGGTGGGAAAACCCTTTTCTAATTAATGAATAACTATACATATCTATTAGATTTAAACTGCTAAGTATATTAAGGGTTTTTCTTAAATAATAGAGATTATTTCTAACACTATCTTTCACAGGAAGCATAGATCCATCATGTGTAGCAGAAGCAACACGGTGGACACTCGCCACTGAACAGATGGGAAAGGTAAAAAGCACATCCTCTTTTATCAGTCATTGAATATATAGGCACAACAACTTAAAGGAGATACAAACCACCTGTGGTTTACATTCATCCCCATCTATTTTTCTGTCTAGAGTGCACTTCGAGTTCATCTGACTTTAAATCACAGCCTGCGTTTGTGTGGTGATAATGAAACAGACGCTGACTGCTGTGCAAAACCGCTGTGTGTCCTGGAAACCCTTCAGGTGTCAGCCTGCATTGGAAGCACACCACAGGCATCATTGCTGATCCAAGCCACCACAAACGCCCGGTTGTTTCCTTCTAATGCAGGATATGGTGATTGGAACTTAAAAAACATTCTCATCCTAATATAAAATAAGAACTTTAAAAGTAGAACATTTCCTAATACATTAGCCATTTGTTCATTTTCAGAAAACAAAACAGTATTTCCTAACCAAGTGTACCAACCGCTTGGTGCTTGTCCATGTGACCTGACATCCGGGACGTGTGACCCTCGCTGCTGTTGTGACAAGGTGCTAATATCAGTCTAGATTTCAGAAAAATGTAACAAAATTAACAAGAAAACTCCATCTTCTTTTTTGTTAATCTCTTCATCTGTGTTTTACTTCTCTCAGGACTGTTCCAGTGAAGATCTCAAGCTTTTTGAATCCCACTGTCTCCCAGGACCCTTTGGAGGACAAGTCTCCCCTGCTCCAGATTACCAGTGCTCTATGCAATCTGCTGAAAACTCCCCAGACTGGTTTCCATTTTTATGTGTCACTTCTCCGGCTGAAAATAACCCCTACCTGGGTCTCTTCTACCAAGGAGACACAATGTAAGAAATTATGTTATTAATGGTTTTGTTTTTGTCACTTTTCTTATTTTTTTTCTGTAATTGCTGAGCTTCATACTTTCTCTTCATATAACCTGTATAGTGCTCCCAGGCCAGGCCCGTCCTTCCAGATGCCTGCTCTCTCTGCTCCAGTGCCAGTTAGTATATATGTTCAGGGAAGTCCTATTATCACATCGGATAACAAGTACTTCACTGTGCCACAGGTTGGTAGTATATGTGCTATCTGATCATTTCATTTTAAAATGTTTGTATCATATATTTCATGGCTTTCTGTCAAACTTATAATAACTGAGGGCCTTATCTTCAGATTGTCAACAAGGAGTGTTAAATGCATGTGCAATTATTATTTTTTTGTTTAATGTGCATGTACAATAGGTGAATGCACTGCATGTGATCTAAAAAGATTGCTCGCGAACCCTTAAGTCATGCAAACCAGTTTGGTCCGCCCTATTTAAAAATAAGCACGATGCATGTGATGCTGGAAGTCTGGGAGTGCCCATAAAAAGAAAGATTAGGTTCTAAGCCATGCAGTTGACGTTAACAATGATACTTATTATTGGGAAAAAATTAGTAATGGTAATATATCTATTGCACTCCTCATAGTTAGCCAAGGTGACGTATGGGCTAGAAAATATAATGATAAAATAATCAACATAGAAGCATAGAACGATAAAAATATTATAAAACATTGAAATATGGTATTTTCCTGTTGACTGATCCCCCATTCCACACCTCCCCAACAGAGAGGACCCACTGTCAGATTTACAGCTGATTACATTCTAAACAGCCAGATTTACATCCATCAACTTTCATCACCAGACAAATACTGTAGAGCCACAATGATTTAATAAAACATAACCATGCTTCCTGAAGCGCCTGTTGAAGAACAATGAGGATTTATTATAGAAATCTACTATTATTTTTTTAGGGTCCAAATATCTCCAAATGCACACAGAATCTCTTCATCGTCTGGCATTGTACTGATGCCCTCTTTATGGCCACAATGACTGAAATATTTGAGCGTGAGTTTGCAAATTCTGTGGCCGCAGTTAATTTTAGATTTGAAAAAATTCTTTGAATCTGGTAAATGTTTATATTTGAATATCTTCCACTCATTAATATGCATTGCATTAGAATATGAATTGCATATGCACACAAACAGGCAAAAAAAAGATATTGCAAGCCATAACTAGCTATACTTCAATGAAGATCAAACGATTTTCTAAGAAGGAGCAAATCATTTTGTGCCTTTTTTTGTAAATCTGGTGCGCGTATACAAATATGGTTTAAAGATGTGTAAAACTTTTTGGTGATCAGGCCTTAAGACTTGGCTCATGTTTCCCTTTTAAAGATGGTCCTGGGAAGGTGCATAAACGGCGCTCCTGTTGCCTTTTTGCAAAACTTTAAACTGGAGTGTGTGACGCTGATCCACTCATGTCCAACCGGTCCTCCCCTAAAAATGCTGGAAAAAGATTTGAGCCCTGACGTGCTAAATGGACAAGGAGGTGGGTTTTACTTGCTTTCATCGCTAAAGTTGCTTTTTAATGTGCTTTGAAACTTGTCTGGTACATGTATGCAAGTGTATGTTGTTGTTTTTTTAATAAGCAGGTGTTGTGAAGGTGAATTTAACTGATGAAGAGGCCCCTGATCTGAGTCTCTTCCTTTCAAGTGGTCAAGTTGATTTTACATGTATGTAAATTTAATTACTAAATCAGATCAAGCTGACCAACCTGCCCAACATCTAATCTAAAATGAGTTTGTTTGTTTTTTTAAGCTGAAACGCTGGTGTGTGAAAACGTGACCTTAGCTCTGGATTACAAGTTCTACTGGAAAGGAAATGGCATCACCAGTATTTCACTAACACGCACTGTTGGGACAGTCGTCTTAAATGGAAGTTGTAAGTTCCTACAGTGCTGGTGTTTGACTGAATGCATCACTATTTAATGTGATGGGTTTGTGTGAGATTGACAGATTTTGCTGTCCCTTCCTCTAAACAGTGGCTGTAACTACTAGATACTCTGCCGTGTTTCTAAATGGAGAGTCTGTGGCTGAGCCCAATTCAGGAAACCCAGGTACAAAATAATACATTTTGTTTCAAGTGTTTGTTGATATTTCAACTCCTAAAAATGACATTATAACTTTAAATGACAGGTTATCAAGTGGGACGGCCTCTAATTGCTGGTGTTTTGGATAACAATACAGAATTAATACAGAAGACATTGATTAATAGTTGGAAACCAGGTAAAAGCCAATCAGTAGTGTTTGTTACTTTTAAGTAACAAACAAATAAACACATTTTAGTTCATTAGAATTAATAACCTGCCTTCTGATCTTTTGATAGCAGGTGATGGACTTTGTTCCAGCGCCGTCACGAAGCCGGTTCTGTTTGGGGAGAACTCAACTTCAGGTTGCTTGCTGCCACTGCGGCAACTAAATGTGACGCAGTGTGATCTCCTGAGGTTGGCCGCTCATCACTGATTTTTTTATTTTAGTGTATGTGTGACTACAGTGGCCTGTAAAAAATATTCATTCCACTTGAGACTGTTTACATTTAGTCCTTTTACAATTACGAGGTACAATTACAAAGGATGTTGTTATATATTAGAGGCCACCTGAAAAGATAACTGTGAAGAGGGTTACTTGTTCTTCATAATGCTGTTTGTTCACCACTCTGATAAACCTCCAAGGACAGAACAGCAACATTTATACTGAGGCTAAATCTCACACAGTATGACTGTTTTCTTAGCAGTCGACATCTGAGGGCACTTTTACGTCCCCGTATGATTTCATTTCCCTTCACAGTGACAGGATTTTCAGTGATTTGCCAGAAATTATTAAAACTTTAATGCTTTTGGATTGGAATGCAGTGTGTGCAGTACATATAAATCAGTTCGACTCGTGTTTTTTTTGTCACGTTTTAGAGAAACTGTTGCTGATCTGCAGGCAGCTCTGACCACAGCAACATATGTTGCACGGCGTGGTAACCCAGACATTACAACCATGACAGATTGGCTGAACATCAGCTGTAAGTAGATCAGTAGTTAATTATTCCTCTAATTCAACTTTTTTTTTGTTTATAGCTTTTACCTACATTTGTATTGTTGTTTTTATATCAGAAATCTTCTCTAAATAATTTACTAAATAAATTTTATGTAGTCGTGACACTGAACTCAAGCACAGCGACTGGAGCCACTGCAGGCATCTGCAGTGATATTCCCTCCCACAAACACATCAGTGTTTGGAGCCTTACCACCAGCCTGGTAGATGGAATACCCCAAAAGGAAATCCAAGCTTTGGAAGTCCGGTATCAACACAATTACTTGCATTTTCTCAGCTTGATTCTAGTTGTGGCAAATATTTCAAAAATTTGTGTTTAAGGTAACACGTATTAATGGGAATATCTATGTTGTTTGTTGTTGTTTTTTTTAGTTATAGCATGTCCACTTGGGCACTAGGTTGCGAAGGGGGCGACTCCTCTTTGTGTGAGAACCCAGAAGAAAATCAATTGTTCCCAGTCACCTCCTCAGTCACTTTTATTGACATTCCTTTTAATACTGGACCACCTAAAAACAGGTGCATACGCATTTTAAATGCTGATACTGTCGTCAGACCAAGCAGGTTTTGAAACATTTAATTTATTCGAATTCATTCTAAGACGTTGGTGTACTTTGTTTGTTATAGGTTTCAAATTAACTTCACAGAATATGACTGCAACAGGAACGATGTGTGTTGGCCAGAGCTGGCCTTTCCCTTCACCAGATATTATACAGGTAAGGATTTAGCTAATCATAATGTGGAGGTTTACTTTCCTTCTGTAGATCATTCCTTATAAAGAGCTTTACTTTAGTATAAAGTTATTGTGCAAATAATGAAATGAATAACTATGCAATGACTTTAAACTCAAACAAGATGATATACTGCTGCAAAATCGCATTTTCAAAATTCAGAGTTAACCTATTTAACTCTAAATGGAGTATTTACAACTAAACTGAGTGTAAATCTACTCAAGTGTTGGAGTTAATAATTAGTGTAAAATTTGTCAGCCATGCTGTGTAGCTTTTACTCTATATGGTGTCAATTACCTGTCTGTCTATAAAAGGTCTTCTTGATTTTTCACACTAAATATGAGTAAAATTACCTCTGAAGATTAGACGCTAGCTAAAGAGTACATTTTACACTCATTTGGAGTCAGACCATATGTTATCTGAAACAGTTATATTAAACTCTATAGGTGTTAAAGTAACACTTTTTTTTACTGTGGTAATGTCCATCACTAGAACAGAAAAGGTATTAAGTGTTTTGACTTTAAATAAAGCTAAAAGGCAAAGTGTTATTTGTTTAATATTTGTTTTTAACTCTAGAGAATTAGAAACAAAGTCAACCAAGCAGATCCCAGAACAAATTAGATTGCGAAGGTGTCATGATAACATTTTTAACCGTTCTCTGTTCCAGGTGAACCTTACTCCCAGGCACTGGCTAAAGGGATGATCTTGGTTTTCATGTTTCTTTCTGCAGCAATTCTTGGAACTCCATGGAGACAAATAAGACAGGCCTGGCACAATGCTTGAAAGATTTTTTTTAACTAATGTAAAGGATGACTTTTAGGTAATAAAGAAAAGTGCAAGACAGTGGTTTCTGCATTTATACATTTTGTGCTTATATTTTTGTAAATATTGATGTGTTCATTTGTACAAGTATATTTAATCTGTACATTTTTGTAATAAAGTTGTATTTTTTAGATAAGTCTGAATACTTAGTCCTGATATTTATCTTGAAATATGCATAGCTCTCTTGTGCTATTCACAGATTAAGCCCCCGTCATGAAATGTGTAACTGATCTGCTTGTCAAATGCTATTTTACAGATTTCTGTTTCAATCATCTTTTTTTCTCAAACTACTGAGCTACAATACTAGCTATTGTAAAGCCTTCGTTTTTTACAGTATTCTCTTTTTTAAATAATTACAATGATTTATAACACCTCAGTAGCTTTTTACCAACTGCTGACCCCTTACTCTATGACCCAGGTTTCTATGTAACAAACAGTTCTAGAGAAAAGTAAATCAAAACTCAATCTTACAGTAGTACTTCCCTCTTAGAATCAGGGTGAAGTTGTATTTCTAAACACTGACTTCTGAGTGTGGTTGATGACTAATGCCATCAAATTTATAATACTTCTAAATCAGGATTATTTTTGGTTTAACTAACCTGGAATTGTTGGTCCATCTTGGCAACTAATTTACAGTTCTCCCTACCATTGGCCTGTGGTAAAGACATGTCAGACACTTTAGAGAAAATGCATATTTTATAGTCAAAGCATATTTGAACAGTGATAACATCACCAATGGAAACAGAGTAAGAACAGAAAGTAATAGAAACTAATAGAGGTACACAGGAGACAATAAAATATGAAAACGAAAACAGAAGTCAAGAACGCATTGCAGCAAAGGGAAAAGATCTAAAAAAAGAAACAGACTGTGCAGCTATCAACAAAAAGGCCTTATTTTAATCAAATGACAAATGTACAATAAACGATAAATAATCGCATTCATTTACAAAAACACTCACAGATAAAGTGCACAACTTACAGCTATGTTGTAGACACTTATTGGGCCTGTTGGGAGCAGTGAAGAAGTGCAATGCATTTAGAATGCAGTAGTTCTTTACTAAAGAAGCTCTGCTACAGCTCCATTAGTGTGCTGGGAGATTGAGAAAGTGATTGGGCTAGTTTTTCTTTTTTTTTTTAAATACATTTTAATTCTGGGTTTAATTCATAAAGTACAAGTAAGTTTAAAACTTAAATGAAAGTACCTTCCTAATGAAAGTAAATAGACATTCTTGAAGGTTTGCGGGTCTTAGCAGCAGATAGGGCCACAGTTTGAGACCATAGTATGGGCTGTTTTAACAATAGTGTGATTAAGGGACAACTAAGTTAGAGTCAATTAACAAAGTATTATATATTTATGTCTGTACATTCAGACCCAGTTTTAGATGGTGATCATATCCAAGTTTTCCAGGTTTCTTTTAAATTTTCTTTACACTGTCACAGGTACAGAGCAATTAAATGAACTCTCATTTAATCCATCCCCTTGGGGAGCAGTTGGCTGCCATAGTGCGGCGCCCGGGGAGCAGTGTAGGGTTAAGGGTCATTGCTCAGGTAGCCAAAGTGGCAGTCTGTGGGAGTGGAGCTCAAACTCAGAACCTCAGGATTCCAAGCTCTATGGCCTAATAACAAGGCCGCCACTCCCTTCCCCATACTTCATTATATCCTTCTTATAGTCCTTCTGTTTCCATCACCAACATAGAAAAACAAAGGTGTAATGAGTTGTAGATCAGTGGTAGACATAAAAATTCTACCTATAGATTATGAAGTCCTAGTAAAATTGTTAAAACTAGGACTGCATGCACAAACCTGGTATACAAGGTATACAGCAACAAAACAAAATAATTTTTGTAAATTGTTGTCTTTAAATAATTTCAAAAGTAAATTTAAAGTCCAATTAAAATTGATGACTGTGAAAAAATGAAATTGGGCTGAATTGTAAAACGAAGATTTTACAGCTGCTTATACTTTGTGCTGTATGTGGGCAAATGTAAACGTTACTCTGGGCTGATTGGTGCAATAAGAAATGCCATTAATAAGACAAGTGTTTGTTTTTTTTATTTCTTACTCAAACATCTTGTCATGTGGGACAAACAGCAGCCTTACATGCTAATTAGTAGAGTTATATAAAAAATAACTTAGAAAAAGTGGATTGTGTCAATTTGGCAAGATTATTCTTGGTGTTTAACATCCTCACATAAATTACAATTTCATACAATTATTAAGATCTGTTATTCCAAATCTTTCTATAAAATGATTATAAAATAATGATCAAGTTCATAAATGTTAGGAAACTTCTACTCTTTTTTTCCTACAGACATTTCCTCAGACTCTGTTTTCTCGTTCAAAAGTCAAAGGCCAACATCTATTTTTTATTATTGTTTTGTTGTTTGTTTAAGCCTGCAGACAGCGCGGAGGGCTTAATAATGTCGAACAGGTTCCCAATGCGCAGAATCCTGAGGCTGGCTCTGATTGGCTGATTCGCTTCTGTAGAAGTTGAGCATTCTCGGTGAGAAGTAAAGTGACGTGGAGAGTTACGAAGATGGCAGTCTGACAGCTAAAACTTTACAAACTGTGAGAAGACTTGGCATAAAACTACACGGTGAGCTTCATAAACAGACACAGTTTTATTGTAGAATATTAGAAACGTAACACCTAACCAGGAAACGTGTTAATCGCCTCCACCAGCTAACCAATTAGCTGGCTAACAACCGAAAGACCAACTGTTTACAGCGCGTTTAACTCAGAGTTATGTAAGTTAGACATCAATTTACCACCTGAGCCATGTCATGGAAGAACACGGAATGACGTGAACGAGGAGCTTTGGCTTTTACTGCCCAAGAAATCGCCGGTGAGCTTTGTTATATTAAAGCAGGGGACTGTCTGAGGCTGCTGCCAAGATGAGCTCCCTGCTCCGAGGTGAGGAGATGTGCCTGGCCCAGCTGTTTCTCCAGTCCGGCTCAGCTTATGACTGCATCAATGAACTGGGAGAACTGGGACTGGTGGAGTTCAGAGACGTAAGTTTCATTTCTGTAAAGTCATCTCCTATCTGATTGTGATAGCCTGATCACAGTAACGCTTATAAAAGGGCCAACCCATGTACACAAAGGAAAAGTTTTATGATGTATGACACATTTGTTCAATTCACAGATACTATATTGCACTCAGGAAACAGATACAACTGTTTTCTTTTCAGAAGATCCTTAAAAGAGGCATACTATGAAGTATTTTCCAGAAAAAAGTTAAAAAAAAAATGTATAACATCACATCCTTTCTTTTGATAATCATAATAGATGAATGCATGTACTTTATGCCACATTATTGTTGAGTTTATAAAAAAAACTTAATAAAAATCAAATTTGCTTTGATTAAAAACATTTCTAATTCTCTTGCTTCATGTAACCAATTTAAAGCTACTGTCTCTGATATACAACCTGCTTTACATGTTTCTCTTATGTCATCTATATTCCATAACAATACAATTTGGACCCAAATTGGACTCAGGAGTTTAAACCTTAAGAAAAACCTTAAACCAGTGTTCGCCATGGAAACCCCTCAATGGATGTCTTGAAAACAAATGGCTTTTATAAGATCCCTTAATAGGGAAATATCAAAGAAAGTTGTCCATGCTGCCTGTTTGAATGACTGCTTGTACTTTCAAACAGCTATTGGGGTCTTTTCCACTGTCAAACTGTGGGGGGATAGTTTGGGACCAGTTTTCATAGAGTTTTGTAATGCTGTTGTGAATCTGGCTGTGCATTTACTTGCTGGCAATGTGGCTATGACCTTTTTGAGGATACCAGTGTCTTCTTCCACTGATACAACAATTAAACCGGAAAAGTGCATTCTCTGATTGTTGGCGTGACTAATGGACTATCTCACACTCGTTCCAGCTCAATCCTAATGTGAACGCATTCCAGCGAAAACACGTCAACGAGATCAAAAAATGTGAAGAGATGGAGAGGATCCTGGGTAAGAGGAAAGCATGTGATTCAGCCTGTTATATTCAGGAATACGGCTTTCTGCCTGTTACCTGGTTATTGTTATATTTTCAGATCAGCGTGCATACACAGTTTTGACAACACATAGAACATTTCTTTTTTCCTGCCTTTACTATCAGATGAATGAGAATGTAATCTTTTGTATTCAGTGAAAATGCCATACCAATTCTAAATCAAATAAAGACAAAACTCTTCAATATGGCATTTGTTAACCAATTGTTGTTTTCTGAGGCCATTTGTTCATTCATATCACTGCATCAGATGACCAGGTTAGGTCAGGTACTAGCTTTTGTTCTATAGCATCTTTGGTCATTCTGTACTTACATTCTGAAAAAGGGTTGTCTGTGACAGGATGTCAGTTTGAATCTGCCTGTATTGGCCATATTGCTTTGGAAACATCAGGAAGGATGAGCAAATTACAGAAAAGTTGTTTTGTTTAATTATTTTGAGATTGCTAACTCTGACCCTGGAAATGCTTGATTTGGAAATGTTTTCAGCCTTTTTTTTATTAAAAATACAGGTCAAAATTGTATAGAAAAATTTCAGAGATTAGTGTTTATTGTTAGAAAAGCTAGTCTATGCTAGCCTTTAAATATTGGTTTATTTCCTATTGCAGAAGGATAAACCACAAACAAATACTTGAAGGAACAGTGGGGTTCCTCTCACAGGGCTTAACCGATGCTGTGGTCATGAGAGACATCAGGCGGTTGTAGTTTCAGTTGAATGCACTGCTGTCTTTGGTTAAATAAATGCTGTGTTATTAAATTAAGTTGAAAATAACACACTGTCAGTCTCAGATTTAGTGCTGTCCTGTGTCTCCTGTGGAAGCTTGGAAAAAATGTCCTAAAAAATATTGCTTGTCATTTTTAACAGGTTACCTTTTAAGGGAAATTAAGAAAGCAGACATTTCACTGCCAGAAAGAGATATTAACCCTGCAGCTCCTTCACCGAAGCATATAATGACAATAATGGTACTGTTTCCTTTTGTCCTCACTCTTAGAGAAAGGTTGTTGTTGTATGTTTATTATGCTTACATCCACATTTATTTACAGGAGCAGCTGCAGAGACTTGAGGTTGAACTAGGTGAAGTAACCAGAAATAAGGAAAAGCTGCAGAAGAACCTGCTGGAGCTCACAGAGTACACACACATGCTTCGCATCACACGCAACTTTGTACAGAGAACTGCTGAGGTAGGATTTCTATCACATCAAGCTGTCTTTGTTTTATTTTGAGTTTGGTTAAGAATGTTTTTTGTCCTTTTTAATAGTTTTGTACATCTTGTCTTTTCTCTTAGAGAGAACCGCTACAAGTCCAGTATGAGGAGTTTCCATTTCTAGAGAAAGACACAAGGATGGACTACAGCAGTATGCAGAGACTGGGAGCTAAACTGGGGTATGTCTGGGGGACAGTGATTGCGTACATGTTATGAATGCTGGCGTACCATAAAGAATACATTATGAACAGTTTAGTTTGTGCCTTCAACTCGCTGCCCGTAAAAGGACATTACTTGGATATAACCTAACGGAATATCTTCAGAACAGCTCCAAATTAAGCAGCTACAAAATTGAACATAATTTATTGGGATGTTAAGTTATAGACAAAATGTTTCAGAAATCTGAATCGTAAGGAAAAACTCTACAAATATCATCAATCAGAGTAGCAGTGAAGACTCCTATAGTAACTATGGAGGAGCTGCATTATCTAGCCAGGAAGCTCTGTAGACAGGGCACCTTTTAGTTCTATATTCGACAAATCTGAACTGTATAGACGAGTGAAAAAAGGGAAGTGATTTCTTCTTATCACTTTAATCGAATGATGTCATTGTGGTGAGTTCAGACTATAATGACATCAATCTTAAAACACATCAGTATCCTGTTCTTTTTTCCGCTAATAGTGTTTCCACTAATAGTGTAAAACCTTTTAAAATCTCTGCTATTCTAAAACAGGATGCATCACAGCCACATATGACAGTTTGTAAATGGTCATGAATTTGCACATATAACTTAAATATGTTACTGAAAATAAACTATACAGTTCATAAATAACTCATGAATCAATCTTTTTCTCTCTTCTATAATTTCATAATTAGAACCTTTAAAATGACATCAACCATGTTTAATGCTTTACTGTTGCTTTTTTGTTTGACTGATCTTATTGCTGGTAATTTAGGAAAAAAAAGATAAATTGTGTGGCTATGATATCTTGCAGACTTTCTGAAATTTTGAATGCCTATCTTGCAGTTTCATTTCGGGGCTGATTCACAGAACAAAGATCGAAGCGTTTGAGCGAATGCTTTGGCGAGTATGTAAAGGTTACACCATCCTGAGCAGCGCAGAAGTTGAAGAGTACCTGGAAGATCCTGATACAGTAGGTTCCATGAGGTTTATTTGCTTCTCTGGCTTTACATTTTGCCTCCATGACAGCACACATTAAACCCAAAGAATGTTTTTATATTATATTTGATTGAAAGGATGTAAGGAACAGGGGACGTTAGCAAAATTTTTTAAAACACACATTCTGATTTAAAGCTACAGTGTGTAACTTTTAGCGACATCTAGCGGTCAGACTGCAGACTGCAGCAACATGAACATCTCCCGTCCACCGCTTCTCCCCCCCAACAGTACGGCGAGCGTTACGGGACAAAATGTCTTCCACGACGTCCGCATCACCTACCTTCTCAAGTGATGAGGTTTGTTTACATAGATAATTTTACAGATAGTATTTCATTAGTCTGTGTAGGGTATAGATTTCATGTAGACTTAAGATAATAAATATACCCGTTATTTTTTCTACATCGTTGTGACGTTTTGGCGATCTCGCAATCGCTAGTTTGTTGGCTCTGCGCTGCCGTAGCGCAAAGATGTCTGCCTCCATGGCTGCAAGACCCGCTCCTATGTAATTATAAATAACGAATTCTAAGGCAACGCAAATATTAAGGTTAAGAGGCTGAGCTCGTAGATGATGATAAATAACATAGTTTTGTATAATATATTACATTTCTGACTGTATATCCCTATAATTATTACACACTGTAGCTTTAACAACAACAACCCATTATGACAGATGGTGGTGGCGACATTATTCTGAGGAGATTCTAACGTCTAGCAGGGACTGGGAAGCTGGGGAGAGTTGCTGGAAGATGATGGAGTTAATGACTTGAGACCGGGGTGGAGTCTTACCCTGCAGCCGGACAAACACCCTAAACATAAAACCAGAGTAACCATTGGATGCTTTGACCCAAAGTTTAGACCTCAATTCAATCTGTGGCAAGACTTAGAAGCTGTTAATTTTTGGGGGGATTTTAGATAGAGTACTTTAATTAATTTATATATATATAATATCTTTTATGGTTGTAAATTAAAAAATGTTGCTGAAACTTTTAAAAGCACATTTCTGTTTCTAATGCAAACCTTGTGCTTTCCTGGTGGTAGCTGGTAGTGATCCTTGTGATCACGTCCGCAGACAGCAGTAATCAGATTAGCCCTTTCTTTCCTGTTTGATCAGACATCAGGCATCCAGGACCCCGACGGGTCATGACATGCTTTCACTACTAGAAAGTCAGGACAATTTAAGGGCACTTTTCTTTTTATCAATGTGTTCCTTGTAATTTTCCCCTTAGACACATGCATGCATCGTGCCTTTTTAATTTTTTTTTTTTTTTAAATAAGCTTCATCAGAGCAACAAAAATAAAAAAAACAGTGACGAAAACTATTAAAGCAAATAATAAGTTCTCAGATATGTCAGATATCAGTTTAAATTGAAGTCTATGAAACTCTTTCTTCATTGTTGTTTATTATTTTTAGGTTTAACAAACATTTATTTAATATTGTCATTCTTCCTTTTTGTATGCCTCCCACTCTCTAAATGGAAGGTTGTAAATATTTACCTCAAATGGTGTCCATGTTTAGTTTTTCTAATTGAAAAAAACTCAGTTGATTTTATTTCACTTTTAGAAGCTTGCCAAATGACTATATATCCATAAATATTTACTCTTGGCACTTGATCATCAAAAAATCCAAATAAGGAGTGCAAAGTAGCTTGGCCAAAAAATTAAATAAAAAGAGTACATGCAATAAGTGGGCATGTTGCAGGTGATCTAGAAAGATTTCAGGAATCTAATGTTACAAAAATGCAAAAAAAAAAGGGTTAATCTGAGCTGGCTTGCTCAGATTTTTCCTCCAACTGATATTATTCTACTAATATTATTTCTGACTTTACCAATATGTTCACATGTGCAGAGAATTGCAGGTGTAAACATGTTGGTATATGTTATAATACATTCAAAAACTTTTGAAAGTTGTGTTTGAAGGATATGTGTGGAGATGTTGGTATGATAAATAATTCTTTAATGTTCTCCTAGAAGCTTCTAGCATCCTGTATCAGTCTAAATCTAAGATGGATTGCTAAATGAATCCTGGTATCTCAGTCCTGATACAGCTATGTTTAACAGGATTCCCATGTTTCCTTGAAATCCTTGAAGGGTTGAGTCTAAAGAAATGGTTTCAAGGTCCTGGAATGTTTTTCAAAACTATCCATGAAAGTAATTGAATTTGTGTCTAGAGTTCCAGTGTAGGATGGCTGCTGTCAAGTGTCATTGCTGACTTGGTCAATTGCCCGTGATGTTAAATAAGTACATAAACCGGGAACATTGGAGATTGCATATTTTGCAATTAAAGCTATGCTGATGGCCCAAAAATGAGCATCCTGTTTTTTTTTATTTGTGGTCGACAATTGGGGTTTTTACTACAGCCGTTTTGCTGTAAATTACAACTTCTTTAATTTTCTAATGGAGAAATCAAGAATAGGAAGATGAAAAGCATTCTCATTTGTTGAGATACTTAATTTTTCCAAGTCCGTTTAAGATGTGCAGACTTGTATATTTTTCTTGTGAAATAATTATAAACCACTAAATGCCCTTAGTGAGCATTTGATGCTAATATTAGGCATCTAAAATTGTACTATTTCATATCACATTTGCAAAAGTGCTTGAACAGAGCCTCAAATCTCACAATCATTAGACTTAATCTGTGTTTTGGATGAATAGGAATATAAATAACATTCAGTTTAAATTAGGCCATGAATATCATTCCTGAGGAGCCTATGAATGTTATTGCTATGAAGGCCATTCATTCATAATGTAATTTACTCAGTTTTCTTTATTGATTCTGATCCAACAACTTCCAGGCTATTCAGTTTATATTTTTTTTAAATTTACATTTTATCAAAATCATATATTGAAGACATATTCAGCTGTAGCAGGAGGTACATGCTACCCTTGTCCTTTTAATTTGAAGACATTGGTTCTGAAAATTCCTAAATTGTGGGAACTTAGGTCAACATTTTGATTTTGGAGGTTTTAGGGTGTTATTCTGGCTCTTTTAGTGATTCTCCTGTGCTGTATAAATTTCACAGGCAGAGATTTTAAATGCTTTGAATTAAAGTCAGGTATGTTTTGTGAAAAGAGGTGATTGGATTGGACTATTTTATCTCTGCAGGGCGAGCCAACTAAAAGTGTAGTGTTCCTAATTTCTTACTGGGGTGACCAAATTGGCCAGAAAGTGAAGAAGATCTGCGATTGGTAATTACAGCTCACAACACTTCACTGCCTGACATTTACCATCATATTTTGTGATTAATGATCTGCTGCTCTTACCTTCTCTCTAAACAGCTACCACTGCCACCTGTATCCATATCCCAGTAGCAACGATGAGAGAACCGATGTTGTGGAAGGGCTCAGAACTCGCATTCAGGATCTACACACAGTACGTCGTCTATCTTAATATAAAGGTTTTTACTCATGCATTCCTGATATTATGGATGTCCCGATCTGATATTATTATTATTGGATTTTGAACCAATATTAGCCAAAAAGCTACTATCGTATTTTAGTGGATATTTTCAATCTGATAGAAACACTTTGCCTCTGTGAAAATTTTCTGTAAATCATTGGTTAATTTTGCACATGTCAGCTGTTTTGAAGCCTTTTGTTGTTTACTTTTGTTTACTGTTTTAATGATGTTAATAGATTTTTTCTAACATACTATATTATAAAATGGGTTATAAATCCGCCTCTGATTTGTGCCAAAATTGCATCGTGTCAATAACGGTATCGCATCAGAACAGAAAAAGTTATATGGAGACATCTCTACCTGACATTAAAGTAAATTTAAAATAGAAATGCCCGTTTTTTTTGTTTTTTGTTTTTTTTTTTAAAGATGGCTTGAGTTTTTCAGTTTCTTTTCTTAACATTTAATGTTTTTAGAGGTGACTTTTTACCCTCCTTTTTTATGAAGAACTAAATGATTAGACTGATGTGTTAAACGATTAGCCCAGTTGTTCTTGTGATTATTTGAAGCAGTTTTGTCTATGACCAGGACATCACTGGGAAACTGAGCTAGGCTCACCTTCTGTACCACATTATAAACAGAAGGCTTAAGCTGTAATATATATCCTCTTTATTTTTTTATTAGCTCTTCTGTTTTCCATAGTTTTCTTTCATATTTACAGTCAAGCCTACAAAGATCTTTTCTTTTATGTTTATTTCTTGAGTAATTTTTTTTTAACTCTATACTTGCATAATTTAATCAAGCAACCCATCTTGTTTTCCTGTTAAAGGTGCTCCACAGAACAGAAGACTACCTGAAACAGGTCCTGATCAAGGCTTCAGAATCTGTCTGTACCTGGGTTGTCCAGGTCAAGAAAATGAAGGCCATATACTATATTCTGAACCTCTGCAGTTTTGATGTGACTAATAAGTGCCTGATCGCTGAGGTGTGGTGTCCTGTTGATGACATTCCCAAACTACGGAGAGCCCTAGAAGACGGATCGGTGAGAAAAGCTCTAAACTCTATTCTTAAAGAAGGAGCTTTCACTCTTTGCAATAACTTTTAACAGCTGCTGGATAAGGAGTTGCTATCCTTATGCCCAAAAACTTGTATTTCAGTTTTTATTCTGTGACAGATTAACAGTCATTTTGTTTTAAGGTTCATTGGCACAGAAATACAAAGATCAGTTGTTGTTTTTTTTTTAACCAGCCTCTAACAAATTTCTATTTTGATATTTCAGAGAAAAAGCGGAGCGACTGTTCCTTCTTTTGTCAATCGTATTCCGACCACTGATACCCCCCCGACGCTGATAAGGACCAACAAGTTTACCTCTGGCTTCCAAAACATTGTGGATGCCTATGGCGTGGGCTCTTACCGGGAGGTAAACCCTGGTAAGTTGGATTTAATCCATCAGGAATCTACTGTACATGTTTGTGTTTTAATGTCACTTGCTGTTTGAAAAATCTTGATTTGAAAAAAAACATACATACTTATTTATTTTATCTGATCATTTCCAGCTCCCTTTACAATCATAACCTTCCCATTCTTATTTGCTGTGATGTTCGGGGACCTGGGTCACGGAATCATCATGTCTCTGTTTGCTTTCTGGATGGTGCGCTACGAGAACAACCGCAAACTAAAAAACACCAGGAATGAGGTGAGTAATGCCGACGTTAAATCCTGCTCTTGTCAACTGGTTAGTGGCGTGGCGTGTGACGTGTCTGACATGTGACACTGTTTTAATGTGTAACTGCAGATCTGGAACACGTTCTTCGAAGGCCGTTACATCATTCTGCTGATGGGTCTGTTCTCCATCTACACCGGCCTCATTTACAACGACTGTTTCTCAAGGTCTCTAAATATCTTTGGTTCTGGATGGAGCGCTAAGGCTATGTTTAAAGCTGGAGTGTGGAAGTGAGTGTTTCACTGGGACTTCAGAGTGGATATAAGAATCTTCGTGGATTGATAAACTTATAAAATGCCAACACTTTTAACATATTTTCTGTCTTATAGGGATAATGTCTTACATGGTAATCCGTTTCTGACCCTTGATCCAAATGTCACTGGAGTTTTTCAAGGACCATACCCTTTTGGAATTGACCCAGTAAGTACAAATTTTAAGTTTCTGATGTATGTTAGAAGGTCAGTCTTTTTTCAGGTGACATTTTTTATCAATATAACAAACAAAAAATCAGTGAATGAATGAATGAACTGTATTCCTTGCCATGTGAGTTAAGGCCTCAAGTTTGCAGGATTGTTTTAAAAAAAAGGGTAACATATTAACACTGATAATGTAATCTGTGGTTTCAAACATGCAAGTAAAGTGACTAGATTGCTTTAACTATTGCTGTAATTGATATTGGAACCAATATCCAATCCAGGTCCTTCATAGTAAAATCTATTACATGCTTTTTTTGTTCTTGCTTTAACTTTGTGGGAATCTACATTTCCATTTTGCTTGTCACTTTGCTGCTGATGCACTTGAATTTAACCTCTGAGGGACAATAAAGGATATACTTATACCATTTCATTCTGTTCTGCTATAAATAAAATCCAGGGAAGGCAAATCATAAGTGGTTGCTCTAAGGGATGTCACCTGTGCGTTATTTACTCATTAGAAATCCAGTCCCATTAAGAACAAGAACCACAGTGGAAAGGGTCAGAGATAAAGAAGTAAAGATATTCAAAAATAATAATGAATTAACATTTTGTTCATTTGTTTGTTTGTTTCTGTGAAGATCTGGAACTTGGCCTCCAACCGCCTTACATTCCTAAACTCCTATAAAATGAAAATGTCAGTAATATTGGGCGTCATACACATGAGCTTTGGCGTCATCCTCAGCACTTACAATCACCGGTAAGATACTTCTTGCAGATTTGAAATGTCTTTTCTGTTTTTCTTCTGTTTTAATCTGTTTCTTTTCTTCTTTTTTTCCCCCCCAAATACAAACAGATACTTCCGGAAGAAGTATAACTTGTACTTGGTATTTCTGCCTGAACTCTTGTTCTTGTTGTGTCTGTTTGGCTACTTGGTGTTCATGATTTTCTACAAGTGGCTGGCCTTCACTGCCAAGGACTCCAGACAGGCACCCAGTATTCTAATCCACTTCATTAACATGTTCCTCATGCAGGGGGATGGATTACAGCCTCTCTATCCAGGACAGGTAAGATTTTTCTGAGCATTTTCCCAAAACTGCTCCAATCCAGCAGTGAATATGTTAACCTGGTGATAAAACATCACAGATTGTTGAGATTTGTTTTTTCTCCTTCCAGACTGGCCTGCAGGCATTTCTTGTGGTCATTGCTGTTCTCTCAGTGCCTGTTTTACTGCTGGGGAAACCAGTCTACCTCTACTGGCTTCAGTATGGAGGCCGAAATCGCCTGGGAATGTACAGGGTGAGCACTGAAACATCCCACTTCATTAGTATATTCCTAAATTTTAATTTGTCAAAGTTTTTTCTCATGAAGGAGAGACGCAATAGCCTATTACAGAAAGAGGAAAACCTAAATCTATATGGCATAGGGGTTGAAAGTAGTAGGATTCTCATTGAGATTGTATTTTAGCTTATGGGGTCAGCTGTTTTAGACCAGTACTTAGTTATTCTCTCAATTCAGGAGGGAAACACTTTGTTGATGCATCGTGTTTGTATTGGTTTAGAAAAGGGCGGCCCTGGCTTTCATGTAAAGCTGAGCAAGCTCTGATTTTGAATCTTATCTCTATCATCAGGGATATGAGCGAGTGCGGCGAAACAGTGATGAGGAGCTTTACCTTCTGAGGTCTGAAGACATGGAGGAGGGCAGCACTCACAGTGATCTCACTGGTAGTGGAGAGCCTTCTTCAGAGGAGGTAAGAAGTTGATTAACATCAAACTGGATTGCTAGCAAAGAGTGTTTAAGATTTGAAATCATTGTTTTTTTTATTTTTCTATTAAAATTTACTTTCTTTTTTTGTGTTTGTTGCAGTTTAACTTTGCAGATGAATTCCTTCATCAGGCCATCCACACAATAGAGTATTGTCTGGGTTGTATCTCAAACACAGCATCATACCTGAGACTCTGGGCTCTTAGTCTGGCACACGCCCGTAAGTATGGTGGTTTACTGGCAGCATGTTGCTTTAGACTCCTGGCTGAACACATAATCTCTCTGGTGAAACTTTAGGCTTTTTTTTTTCAGCAAAGTTAATTCAAGCCTGTCAGAGTTGACAGGGATATGGTGGATCTCCAAAATATTATGTTTTCCTTTCTTAAAAAGTTAACTGCATCCCGTTCATAAAAAGTATGATCATTTTAAGTTGTTGTTTTTTTTATTCACAGAGCTATCAGAGGTCCTCTGGGGTATGGTGATGAGAGTAGGACTTCAAATGACACCGGCTCTTTCCGTGATCTTGCTGGTCCCTGTATTCGCCCTATTTGCTGTTCTCACTGTGTCCATCCTCCTCGTCATGGAGGGTCTGTCCGCATTCCTTCATGCCCTTCGGCTGCACTGGTAAGGATTCCTGTGACTGAGGATTAATTATGCCAGTTTTTTATTGGTCTGACAGGCGTTTGCTTCTCCTGTAGGGTGGAGTTTCAGAATAAATTCTACAGCGGGACTGGAGTCAAGTTCTGCCCTTTTTCCTTCTCTCTGTTGCCTTCCAGCTTTGAACACGATGGATTACTTTAAAGGACTAATATTGCAAAAAGATTGAAGAGAAAGAAACCAGCAGCTCATACAAATCCTAATCAAGATATATCAGAAAGTTCTTTTGATTTAGTTTTTTTCCCTTTTTCTTTTAACTTTACATGATAAAATGGCCACACTGGCCTCCTGGCTGTATTTCGAGAAAACTATGGTGAACTGAGTGGTTGTTAATGAAGTTGTACTGAAGAATGTGTGTTTTCCTCCACGCTCAGGTGCAGTTTTACTGGGATTCACTTAAGAGATGCTACACAACATTGGAAAAGGATTAAATTTACATAACTATGTTTTTAAAACCCCTAAAATGTGATGAAGCAATGTTTTGATAACTTATTTGTGGGATATTTAGCCTAATAAAAAATTTAATAAGATTTAGCTTTTTTGCTTGAACATAATTTTTGTCCATATTTTTTTCCCACCATCTTCTAAACTATATATTATCTTTAGTTGATTATTTTGATGTTTGATATGCTTTTTTTATCCTATGGTGACTCTTCTAAAAACTTTTATCTAATCTGATTCATCCACTGGGTTAGGAGAGCCAACTTGAAGTGAAATGGGTAAGCTTTAGCTGTTTGGGTAACAAATCTTTTTTTTTTTTTTTCAAGAAATGAAATACCAATGACATTCAATCTGCAGAAGGCACAGATGGAGCTGAGAAATAAAAAAACAAATATAGCAAGATGAGGAAAAATGTTTTGCTGAAGGACTGTTTGCTATTTCATGGTGAACAGTCCTTCAGAGCTTTTGATAAATACTGGGGGTTGTTTGCCATTTAGATGGACCTGTTTTAAAAGGCCTCTTGGCAGCTTTTTCATATTCAGAATCAACTTTTTGGATAGCTTTTTTTGTTTTTGTTTCCTGTTTTCTCTCTGAAACAAACTCTAGAGCCACACAAGGCAAATACTTTGAGTTATAATTCTGTCCAGTTTCCTGAGCCACCTTCCAAGAATTTTTGGATTATCCTAATGAAAGGCCTCGAGTGTCCTTTATGTTTCATAGACAGAAATCTGCAGAACAGTGAGGGATTTTAAAGTTTCTGTAGTTAAATTGGTGTACTTGAATACTGGGGATTGGTAGATGTGTGTTTTGTGTCACGTTTGCACCATTTGTCATCTCTCCCTCTAGTTTTTATGATTGAATAAAATGAAGGCATCTATTTACTTTGACATTATTAGCTTATAAATCCTACATCTATATTCAATGCATACGTTTCTATGAACCAGGGTGATTTCTCAGTTTGTTGCACTAAATGAAAACAATTAAAGTATTTTACTGTTCATTAATGCCTTTACTTGTGGGGGAAGGAATGTTTGCTTAATTTAGATTAGGACACCACGGCATATTTCTTTGTTGCACTTGATTTGTTTTTTGTTTTTTTCTCAGCTATTTTTACCAAAAACCTTTTAATAGTGCCTCAGACAAGACCCTCATGATATTGATAAACACCCCATATTGTATCTCATTTGAAAAGAACTTGTGTTAATAAATTTCTATTTTTAAGAAATTGTATTTCTTTCAGCTTTTTTACTTTTGATGAAGGTTATACCTGCTTATATCAGACTTTTACTCAAGGATCTTAATGCTAGAGTCGGTACGGGGTCTGGCACACGCCCGTAAGTATGGTGTCCATGGTTTTCCAGTCTGCCCCTGTGTGAGCCTTTTTTATTTATTTATTTTTTTAAACATTTGAGAAAAGTATATGACCAAAATGTAACATTAGCTCTTAATCTTTAATGCATGAAAGAAGAATAGAAAATTCAACTTTACACACCAGTCTTTAACTTTTCAAATGTAGTACATTTAAACAATTGTTAAAGACTAACAAGCAAAGAAATTCTTCAAAAGTTGGATAAAAAGAGGTAGTAACAGTTTTTTTTTTTTTTTATAAAGAGGGGATTTCGGAAGGCAGCTGCATCTTGGGATAGCTGGTCATTTATTTTCTTGCCTTAATCTCACTTTGAGCATTTTCAACAAAGACGTTTTCGAGCATCGCTAATTTAAAAAAAAATTATTTCTCATTATGGAAATGTAGGTAAAGTTGTTTTGGTTCCAAATAATGACAAACATGCATCAAAAGGGCTTTTTTTTTTTAAATGAGCGTTTTAAGCTTACCCTTTCACTTCTATGATTTAGGCTCAATCCCATCACACTCTGTAGCCCTATTTTTCAGTGATGTGCCATTTCCTCTCAGTATGTAGTGGTAGTGGAGATAACAAGTGGTAGAAGAATGATTAAGCCCTTAAAAGCAGGATTTTAGGTGCCTATCTGGCCCTTCCCAGATAGCCAAGAAAAATAGAAGTCTGCAATTCTACAGAGGGAATTGTTTTTTTTACTTTTGATAGCCAAACAAAGCCGTTGCTGTCAACATCCGTGAGTTCACCAAATTCTCCTGGAAAACAGAGGTAAGTTAAGACTGCGCTCTGGACCTCATAGAGAAGAAGTGGGAAAGCCATGCAAGAGCATTAGGACAGACGATGTGGCCACCACTGCCCCACTCTGGAGCTAAGAAAAAACAGTGGGCGATCAAGGAGTAGAGTGTTAGATCAGAGAAGCCAGGAGAGAAGAGGAGAGACGGAGTCTGGCTGGTGTCTCTGCTGGAGGTAGGATGCCGAAACAGTGCTTCTAGGGCTAAATTAATATGGCATTTTTAAAAGCCTCTGAAGAGCATTCCCCACTGCATCCCTTGTCACCATTATTTCTCTATCTTCCATTTTGATTAAAAAGCTTCGTTTCCAAAGCATGTGCATAGGTAAATAATTGCTTACGTAATCTATCTTCAACCATGCAGCCTAGTAAAGATTACAAAGCCCTAACTGTTGTGTCTTCAATTTGAGGGTGTGTAGGTAGCAAGTAAGGGCTAGTGGTTGTTAGTTGGGGCAACATTGGGATTAGGCCTTAGATAATGCAACCAGGTATTGATTAATAATAATAATAATAACAATATACCGGTAAAAAAAAATTTCCCTATCCTTTACAATTATTTTTGCAATGATGGAAATTTTTTTCTTTAACTTCCTGCTGAACTGAGGTGATATTCACAGAATTCACAGTAATTAAAACATTTCATGAAAAGCTTTAATTTCCCATAGTCAATGAATGATTCGCTGTTAAACATCACAAACACAATATAGATGTTAATTAAATTTAGGCTAATTGAGAGTAGTTTGTGGGCCCATAGAGTCTAACTATTTAGCAGAGGTAACAGGTTAAAGAGGGAACAATACACAAAACTCAATCCGAAAAAGAAAGAAAGAAATTTATTGACAAGTTGGACTAAAAACATTTGATCTAGGATGAATTAAACCCAAAAATACACATTTTTGATTCTCTATAAAGAGCATATTCAAAATAATTCTGCTGTAAAATCCACATCAGTTCTACTAATGTCTTAATGAAGTAGTTTTAAACAACTCAAGTGGTAAGGCAGTCTTATGTTTTTCTGAGCAAGAAAATACTATTTATTTTCTTTTTTTTTGTTTATTTTTGTGAACATTTCTTTTGTGTGTGTTTTGTGAGTCTTTCTTCGTTCTCCAAAAAAATATGTGAACATTATCTGAAATTGTCGTTTAAAGTTTCTCAGAAATGTAGGTTTTATATCAAACGTTAAGAAAGAGTTGTGGTGGAAGATTTTCTGGAAATTATGATAAACTCTGATACATGAGGTAAATGTAAGACTATTAATTGTATAAATTTGTAAAAACAATATAACATCTCCAGCTGAATACTCACACTAAACATATTTTCAATTAACATTATCTTATTTGTGTGAACTATTATACCACATCAAGTTAATTTTGATAAATATATTGTCAACATTACACACAGCTAATTGCATCTAAAAAGGTTGCATTTCTAGTCATTATTTATTAAGTGCATTACAAACAAAATACATATTTATTAGAAAAATATCTTTCAAATCTGCTTAAGAGATAGAAAAACAACAAGGACAATGAAATGAACATCCAGATAACATTTATCAGCTGATAAAAATCGGGAGTTATTTTTTTCTATCCAAATAAAGGACTGAGACCAAACTTGAGCAAAGGCAACAAAATGTTACTATCTTGGATTAAATTTTTTTTTTAGGGTATTTTGTTTATAATTCAAAGAAATAAAAACAAATTGTGATATGTTTTTAAAAAAAACTCCAACTCAAATGTACTCACAGTATCTTATTGGGTGTACAGTAGCAACAATAAAGATGGAAACAACAGAAACCGATACACTTCCGCATGCAAACATCTAAAATGACTATATAATGACTGCAAAAATATACACAAGCAATTATTTGTGTCCTCTAAAAATGAAAAAAAATCTACCATTACTCAAAGTGGTTATAAAAATTAACATAAGATATCAAATGAATTATCTCATTTTTTATATTTATATTTCTTACTCGTCTTATGCAAATGTTACAGGAAAGTAATATATCTAATTGTTAAACTCTAATTATTCAAGCCTGTTTTTATTTATTTTTTATTTTATTTTATTTTTTTTTTTGCCAAGTCCCAGATGACTGAGAATTTTCACAGGAAAATATGTACTTGGTAGTTTTACCGCTAGATGGCAGCACAAAATACTGATTTGCTCTGCTCGCTTTGAAGTATGTGACTCTGAGGTTACCCATCACCTGAAGATATTTTAAATTGGTTTGTCTTATAAATTACTTTCTAAATAAGGAAATGTTAATCTTGATGTTTTAAAAAATGCATCAATTGAACAAAGCTTATGCCAAAGCAGATTGAGATGTATGTAGATGTGAGCATCGTTTTCTATACCCAAGTCTCTATAATTTGGTGTTGTCTTTTGTTATGTGCAATGCTGTGTGTTGTTTTTCTTCTGTCATGTAGCCTAGATCTGGGACAGCTCCACTCAAATAAGGCTGCTGAGCTCAGCATGGCACAGCAGGTACAGTTTCCTTTAAAAAAAATCAAGAGAGCCCCAGAGGATTTGGCTGCCAGTGTAGCAGAGAGGTCACAAACACAGGCAGAGAGTGCAGCACTCAAAAACATTTAATTGTGATAGATAGAGTTGTAGCTTTTTCTGTTACAGTGAATATTTGTTTATAATGTTCTGCATAGGCCAAATCCTGGTCAGTAGATGCAAATAAAAGAAAATCTGCTACCATGAAAATATTTCACTCTCTTTCGTCTTCGTCCTCAAAAGCCCCGACTCTCACAAAAGATCACAAGAATGCATCTCATTACTATTATGTAGGCTACAATGGTTCTGTCTGAGTGCAGAGGGTAAAGGTTAGATTGCCCCCTCATACGATTTAACTATTTAGGACAACATGAGGAGTAAAAATAAGCATGTTTATGACCTAACTTGAAGTTGAAAGACTGAGTTCCCCTGTTGAAAATAGTTTTATAGGATTTATTAAGCTTTATGCAGCTATGACATTAGGCAGTTAATTTCTGTGACTTTATAAAGGACAGGGGACGGATTAAAAATGACCATACAGAAAGACAATGTCTGGAAATCTCATATACCTGTTACTTTTTGACATCCTAAAATGACAATGGTACCTCTAAAAAACAACAAGAGACCAAAATGCAGCCAAGCTTCATCCTATAGCGGTAATGATGAGTCCATGCACAGTGAATGTGATAATATAATGTGACATGGGAGAATACTTTTGACACAGTATTAAGTAGCAGAGAAGAACCACAGGCAGATCAAAACCAAAGTTTAAGTTTGGATTATTTTAAGTCTTTGGCTTGGAGCGGACCAAAATCTTACCTTATAGGTAATGCCTGCTTTTGCTGAATGCTTAACCCCAAAATCAATACAGTTTCCTTTAAAAGTATTTTCTCATCTTGAACTTTTTAAAGTTTTGTCAGATCACAGCCACAATCTGAAAGTGTGACTCCTCCCAAAAGGATTTATTGATTTTATTTTATGTTTTGCAGGTTAAAGGTGTTTAAATTGGACCACCAAAAGGAGCCGTTTTAGCTGTTCTTTTTTTTGTTGTTGTTTTAAATATCCATTTAAACTTCTGTCATTTTGCAAATTTTCTCTTAAAATCATCTTAGCACTGTCCTCCCTAGGTTGAAATGCTTACTGGTCACTTGCACCAGCATTTTCAGTCGTCTCGACCAAGCTTTATCTGCCTCTTATAGGATCTCTTGATAACAACTACTTTCATGTCTTTTTTCCATAATTTGTCTGCGGTGGGTTATGCTTTTAGATTGGGGTGAGCTACACTTTGAATGTATGTTTTTTTTTTTTTTTTTTTTTGTAAGGACCAAAACAAAGCAGTGCATGTTTGCTAAGTGGATCAAAAAGGACACATTATTATTATTTTTTACAAATATCACTTAAAAAGGTGTGGTACATTTATATCCAGCCAACCTTCAAAGGATACCCCCTAAAAAAAAGTTAAGGCTAAATTATTGTCAAAGGATACCGTATTAGTAAATACATTTCTCTTCTGTGTAATGTAATTTTAACTTAATCCAGCTGCTCTGTGAATGTTTTAGAAGTTAGTGTTTAAGCTGCATAGCAAAGACCAAGCTAGACAGGTGTGAAATATATGTTTCTAAAGATATTTAAACCAAACTTATTTCATAATCTGTTAGTTTCTGTCATTTAGGTGTTACTATGTTCTTTTCCTTACGATCCTATCACATAGTTTACTCCTTAGTGCTGATGCTCCCTTTGTTGCTGCCTATTAGTTTATTCATTATTAACCATTTTTGGATTCTTTATGTTTATCCTTCATGTTTCTTTCTAGCCCTATGCTCTCACTGACTTCTTAATGTATCATCACTTGAATCTTCTGTTTGTGCATGTTTTTTGTATTTATTCTCAACTTCTTTCTTAAGTTTATTCAAAGTTCCTCATTAAATAATTTTTCATTTTACCTTTATTCTGCATTTGGGATCTGCCTAAACCTCAACCTAAGATATATCATGTGACCGAATCTGCTGACTGGACAGCTAGTTAGTTTTTAATCCACAAATATGAATTTTGTGGAAAAGTGCCAAGAAGAAATTTAATATTCAATGAAAGACAATAGAACAGGAGACAGAAAACATTTACACTACTTCTACTTTTCCCAGCTATACTTCAACACCCAAAGAAAACTAATGATATAGAGTAAAAGAGCAAACAGTAAAGGTGTCTAAACCCTCCGAACATTCAAAGTTGCACTGGCGTAACTTTCTGGCATAACTTTTCTTTTCTTTTTTACAGAGTGTACATTTATATAAGTTAAAAAAGCTGGGCTTCTCGGAGGACCATTACTCAGAGTTACAGATTAAAATGCACAGATATCTGTTGTTTTCTTATTGAATAGAGAATCAGACTCCAGAGCTTCTAGAGATCTTGAAAATTAGTTTCTCCGGCATCATTATATTGGTAGAAAGGTTCATAAATCTGTTTTTAAGCACAGCATAGACACAATTGGGATATGCAACGTGCAATAAAATATATCTCCAAGTTTACAAGAAAAAATATGCTATGCTGTAATAAAATTCAACTTATTTTTTTGTCTTTTGTAGTTCGGCAAGACTCAGAAATAGCTGTGCCAGCCAACCCAGAGACAGCCAGACTCACAGGAAACAGACAGAATTAAAATATAAGAAACCTGCAAGAATTATAGCACAAATAATAAAAATATGTGCATAAATGATTTTTTAAATATAAGCTTCAATATATAGACTTTTGCTGTCAATGACATATGGGAGAAGTTTCTAAACTTAAATTTGATACTTGTGTAGGAGGATAATCACTGATGCAGCTGAAAGGGAAACCTTGCATGGATGGATGGATGGAATTGAAGTTGTGTCCATACTAGGGATGCATGATATATATTGATGTTGGCATTGGTATTGGCTGTTTTTGAGCTCTTTATTGTTTCTGGTTCTGTATTGCTTTTTCTTTTGGATGTTCAGTTTTGCTTTGCTCCTGCTTTCTAGTTTTTTATGGTTTAATTCTTATTTTATTGTGTTCTTTGTTTGTTTTTTTTCTCTGTTTCTGTCTTAGTCTCGGTTCTGTTATGTTTTCTTTGGAGTGTTCAGTTTTGCTTAACTCCATGTTTTATAGTCTTAGTGGTTTAATTCTTATTTTGTTGTGTTTTCTGGTTATTTTCAGTTCTCAGGTTTTTATTTGTTGCCCTCTGCTGCCACCTTGAGTTCTCCTTTTTTATCCTTGCCTCTTTATTGTTTCTGCTCTACTCACACCTGCTCCTAATCTGCTCGTTAGCTCTCCCTTTGTTTCAGTTGCCTATAAATACTCTCTCTGTGCAGTTCTTCAGTGCTGGTATCCTTGTCAAACTTCCTCCAACTCCGTCTCTCTGAGCTTTCCACCTTGTGATAGTTATCCCCCTGATGTCTCCATAGTTTCTGGTTTGTTTTGACTTGTTTTCTTATTTTGATTTTTGGACTCCTGGTTTCCTGTTAGTTTGGACTTTGTTTTCTTTTTGGATAACCTTGCCTCTGTTTTAAGTAAACCTTCATTAAATCATCAAGAAATTCCCCTCTGCCTTCCAAAACCAAATCCTGACATTTATAAATGATGCACTAAAGGCAGGCATCTGTCTATAACTATAAATATCAGTGTATTATGGTTCTCTTGTGTTCTCAGCAATGGGAAAGCATCCAATAAATATGTTTTAGCAAATTTTTGAAACTATAAACCCTATTGAAAGCATTTGGATTGAGTAGCTGTTGGTCCATCAGCCACTATCCTTAGAGGTCCCCTGCAACTTTTATCACAAAGTTACACCCGTGCAAGGTTGTAATAGATTTGTCCAACTTTATAATTTCCAAAATAGGAAAGAAAGAAGCGTAAGATATTTAAGAATGAATGTGATGCCAAAGATTTGGTCCCCTGATTTCAGAGCCACCTGGAGAGGCAGCAGCAGCCCAATATTCCATTCTCTGTGCATTGAAGTAGGCGTCACATTGTCCTCTGAGAGAGCTCATAGTGGGGCAGGCAGAGTGAGAAAGACCCAGCAGCAGGCTGAGCTTTTAAAACACCAGAGGAGACTATAAAAACTGCTCCATGCCCCGCTGCTGGAGCGGACCTCAGAGAGGAGGAGAAGGGAGGACAGCAGTCTTCTCACAGTTCATCCTGTGTTTAGTTTAGTTTTTCCTCACAGGAGTGAAATCTCTCTGCTCTGCGAAGACAGTTTAGTTATTTCCACTCAGTGATTAGGATGCGCGTCTTCTGCGGCTCTGCTTCAGTTTGACGCATCTGAGGCGCACTGAGCGGACCAAGAGTTGGACTCCTTATTAGAAACTGTTCCGCTCAGTAGTTTAAATTCTCCACTTTAAAAATGGGATCGCACAGGTTAGAAGCGCTAATCAGGAAAAGTTTGCAGTGGACGGTGCTGATCCTCTGGCTGTCCACGTTTGTTAACGGGACCTGGAAGACTGGACTTTACAAAGGATATTCAGCTGGAGCGCAGAAAGCAGCCGCTCACACCTCAATCTATCAGAAAAGGTAAGAGGGGCTTTATAATAATGTTCCTCATGTTTAAAAACACATTTAAACAAACCAAGGTCTTATTGGTTCCTATTTTAGATCTACTCCCCAAACCATCCATCTTCCAGTTCCTATTGTGTTCCTGACACTTGGTTTCCTCTTTCCTCTGCCTTGTCTCATCCTCATTGTTGTCCAATGTGTCACAGCACATCCACTGTCAAAGACATGAAGCAAGAGATTCAGCTCCATCATCTCATTTCCTTTACTGTCAAAATCTTTTTTTTAAGGTTCAGCTTTGTGCACAGAATACGTGTTTTTATTGGGGTAGTATGAATAAGAGGCTGATATTTTTAATAAAAAAAGATAAAAAGAGGATTTCCTAAATTGATTGATTGCCTGAGGGTTGTTGCTGACAGATGGGGTTTCCGAACAAGAACCAGTAGACTAAACACACTTAAAATCAGGTTTGCTGAAGAGTTTAGCTCATAAATGACAAGAAACTATTTTTAACACCTGCAAAGTTTTTCATACCTTTTGACTTGAATACATGTAACTCTATAACCACATTTTAAGTGTATTGCATTTGGATTATATACGATTAAGCAGAACAGTAAACCTTCTGCTGAAGGCCAATTTTAAATTTTTATTTTTTCCCAGTTTTTCCAGGATTAGATCTTTAATACATTGATATGTTATTGGTGATGCTGGTGGGTGAACCAGAAATTTCTATCCGCTATTGTCTGGTATTTCCCATTCCCTGCTGAAGAAGGAAATCTCCACAGTGCCATGCTGTCATTGCCATGTGTTTACAGATATGTCCAGATATTTTTTTAATGCATACATGTTTTGCATGTACAGTAAAAATAATCTGTTTTAACTTCCAATCTGACCACCCGATTCCTTTTTTTGCTACTTTACTTAAAATCTATTAGACTTTTTATGTCTTTCTGTCAGCAATTCATTTTTCTTGCCATTCACCAATGAGTTAGATTTGATCTGTGACCTTTCCTGGTTGTTGGCAGATTCTTCCATCTGAGCGGTGAATTTCTGCAGCTACCTGCCCTATTAGTTTAAGTGGGTTTTTAGGTGTGCTATGCTCTTTCCATATTTAAATGAGATTGAACAATACTCAGTGATGCCCTCAAGACTTGGTGTATTATTCTGTAACCTTATCCCAAATCTTCCATTTCTCAGTCTAAAAAGGCTCCGTCCACCACCTTCATCCTCTTTCCCCTTTGCCACTTGCATCCAGATGTTTGTTGACATGTTTATTAAACACAAGCGTTGGAACACCACGGCATCTGGGCTTGTTTTGGGAAGATGTCAGGATTTGTATACAGGATAAAAATCCGCTGCTGTTCTCAATCAGTCGCTGTCCTCATAAAGGTCAGCGAGTTTGAGACTAAATGAATGGGGCTGAGTGTTTCGGTTCAGTCTGGTGTTACTGTGTAAGCAGCAGTTCATAGTAAAAGTCCATGGAAAAACAATTTCTCAGTAAAGTCAATAAATATTGAAGGCTGTCCACAGAAACAAAGAGATTGTCAGCTCTTGGTTAATTTTAAACTCGGTTGAAGTGTTTTCTAAATGATTGATATAGTTTTCTGCACAACTATGCTACTTCTGTCGGTTATTGTTACGTTTTATTTGACGCAGTTTATTCTCTGTTGGAGAATTTGTCCTGTTCTACACATCTTCATTTCTCAGCTTACTCACTGAAATGAAGCTTACTTTGGATTCTGGAAGGTGCAAACCAGACAGTCTGTGATTAGTCTCTTCAAATAACCTCAAATACACCTCCTGCTCCACTGATGCTTGGCTGCATTCCTGACAGACTACTTATTGGATTAAACTGACTCTCAAAATCCTCAGAGAGATATTTGTTAGCATCCTCAGGGGTTTTATATTTAATACAAATAGCATTTTCCCTCCCTTTCTTTCAGCTTGTACTCATTCTTGTAAAGATCCTTACGAAAGTATATACCCTTTCAACCTCCTCCAACTCTGTTACATCATGACCGCGAACTTAGATGTATTCTACCAGGAATTTTATGGAAATTATCAAAACAAAGTAGAGAAAAATTGTGAATTTGGAAGAAAGGGGTTCATAACCTAAAGAATATTTCTTCTTGGTGAACTCTGAAAAGTATGCAGTGCTTTTGCATTCAGACCCCTAAAATCTAACAGTAAAGCCACAGGTAAATAGAGTCCATCTCCATATGGTTTGATGAAAAAAGGAGAACTGAAAAGTCAGGCAAGGAGAACATTAATCACAGAAGAAGCCAAAGAAACCTATCATAAACATGGCAGAGCTGCAGAAATCCATGACACAGTTGAGAAAGCTGTCAGCTTCAACTGTATGAAAGGTTAATCACAGATGAACTGCTAGTAAAGTCATTGATTTGCATTGCATTAATGCATATCTTTTAAACAATGCTAGATTAAGCCCTAACTCTGATAATAAACCTTAGCTCCTATTAAGCCTTAGCTCATCACCTGTATCCTGGTTTATAGGTGAAACACTGATTAACCATATTATGCTGATGACCTTATGGTGTTCAAAAATCTGCCACATCCATTAATAGAGATGCACCAGTCAGATACCTAGATCAGATATCAGCACAGATATTGACTGATCTAATCCAGTGCACTTTACATGAAACTATTGTTTTTTTCTTTTACTGATTATTTGTTAATAGATCTTATTAAATGCATTTATATCTGTATTAATTTGTTACTTTTCAACAATGTTTATATCAAACCTAAAGCCTTCACTCGCATTGCAATATGTATGGTTCATTCATTCAGTGGTTGAATCGGTTTGGTATAAGTTGATTTAAGTTCAGCCAAGGCATCAGTATCAGATCGGATCAGATAAAAACTGGATTGGTGCATCTATATAAATGTAGTGGTTCAATGAAGTCTCAGCCCTCAGAGATGGTGATGATGAATTTATTATGATAGAAAGAGACAGATACAATCAATGTTAGACCTCTTCAATGAGAAGCCACATCTCCCAGAGGCAGTTTGTTCCTCCTTGCACTGAAAGGAGTCACCTGAGAGGGTTTATTTTCCACTCAGGAATCATTGTGATTCAGTATGGGATAGATGGATGGATGTTATCTCAATGATCAAGAAAGGCCAAGAAAACTTTAAAATTGTAACAAATTACCCATGTTAATATTCTGGACCCCAAAACCACAGAAAAGACATCTCTGGAAACAAATAATTGGAAAATGACAGCCTGTTAAAAAGGTTGAGTAATATAAACGGCTCAGTTGGGTCTTTTTTGCATTCTTTCTTTAAACACTAGAACATCCACCAACCATCACAAGCCGACTGAAAGCTCAGGTGTCCATATAGGAAGACTCAAAACAGACAAAGACAAATGACCGCTCTTTGTCTCTGGTGAAAGAGTTGCCAAGCTCTGGCTTTCAGACCTCTGTGTGCTGCTTTGATGATGCTGCACAATGAACACAGTGACCATAATAATCTTAACTTAGTTACTTAACTTCATTTTTGTAAGCTCTTAAAAAAGACGAGACATAACTAATGCCGGGTTTGTTTTTTCACAGTGCTCTTCTTTTTTTTTTTAGTTTCTCCTTCAAAGCTGAGGATTATTATGTCAGGAATGTAGAGCTCATTAATTTTACCTTGACTTGTAGTCTTTATTTTTCTTTTTGTCGTTTTATGTTGAACCACATTTATCTTGAGCCTTCCTCTCTGGCCCATGGGACGTCCGCTGCTTTATAATTGTCTTTTTTCATATCCTTGCTCCCATAAGGACTCAAAGACCCTTAGGACCAAGTGACCTCTCCTTTCCTTGAGCCATTTGCTGCATCTGTCTTTTCTTCCTTTTTCTCTGCAGATATTTTTTCTGCTGACAGAATTCTAGCAAAAAGAATCCATTAGATTTTCCTCCTCACTACCATAGTGTGTGTTGTTCATCTGTCTTCTCCTGCTGTTGATGTTGAATGTATGGGCCTGTATCAAAATGTTTTTTTCCTGCAGAAGATTCTCTCTGTTTTGATGTTGGTTAATATCATAGTTGTTGTTGAAACGCTGAGGAAGTGTCAGCATGCAGCATGTCGAGGTGAAACAAGGGCACGCCTTATTGCTAGATTATAGCTTATAGGCTTTTTCTTTTATTTGCATCCTGTTTGCATTTGCATATATAAGATATAAGGTTTCAGCTCTCTTTTGTTTCATCTTCTCCATCACTTGGCATCTGTAGCACTGAGGAACAGATGGGACAAAGCTGTGATTTCTTTCTTAACTGTTGGCTGAGGCAATGTGCGACGGAGACGGCGGATGATTTATTTAGCTTGGGCCTATAGCATTCAGAGTGTGCCATGTGTGCTTTGAGACCCGATACTCACTGAGGGCCTGGTTGGTGTTTTGCCAGTGAAACAGCATGGTGCTGGTGGGTTTTGCACTTCATAATACATGAGTGGTTCCACTAAGGGGAAGGTGGTGACTATGAAAGATTCAAGAGTAAAGGATTTAGTCCACCAAACACCTGCACTCCTTGTTGCTGGTTTCTTGGCATCCTCTGAGCTGAGGAGAAGATTAGGAGATTTGTATGTTCAGTTACTATAACCTCTAAAGCCCCTGGGATAGATCTTGAAAAAATTTTCTTACTTTCATTTGAAGTAGTAATCAAACTAGTTGGCGAAATATGCAAAAGGTGTAAAGATGATGCAGTTTTTCAGTTTTCTAGCAGAGTCCATTAGACCTTTAAAGTCTTCTGGTCTTTTAAAATGTTCATAATACTGTGCTCTAAAAAGTTTTGGATCTTGACAGACTTATCACATCACAATTTCCTCACCATGCAAACAGTGAACGAGATATTCTTTCTGAATATCTAATCATTTCCCTGGGAAAACCTACTTTGAATGTTACTTCAAAAATTAAATCCTAGTCTCCCTTGACTGAAACACCATTCCAGTCGAAGTAACAGTAGAGCCTGGGAACACTTTATAAGTTAGTTTAAGTTTGTGATGATAGATCAGAAAAGATTGTGTTGCATGGTTGTTTTGGAGAAACGGTGACTTCAGGATGGCCACTAAAATTCTGTATAACTCTGATGTCAAAAGTTGGTGGCAACATGTCTTAGGTGTTTGATCAGCTCTTTTTGTCACAATTCTAGTTGTTTTTTAAACCTTTTATTTTCTAGTCATATAGACAAGTGTAGTCAGTAGTGATTTTCTGTCATTTCATTCCTTTTTTTTTTTATTCAGCTTAGACCTGTGCTATTTAAATAACTTCTCTAGTCTTTTCTATTTTAAACACAATAAAAAATTTAAATAAAAGGGCTCAATGTCCTGTAATATCTAAGCTCCAGGAAAACAGAAGGTCAAGCATTATTAATTAGAAGCTCATATCCACTTTAATTAATGATAATTGATCAAATTAAAAATCTTCACCAACATGTACTTTATTGAAATTTTAAGAAGGGAACTGATTGTGACATTAAAAAAAAATGTAAATAACACAGATAAAATATATTTCCTTTATTTTTAAGATTATACAACTGCAATACAACATAAACTTACCTGAGCTATTTCTATGTCTTTAACAGGTGGGCTTACTCACTTATAGTAGGTATTGAGATCTGCATCCCAAATTCCATTTTTTTTATTTTTTTTTTTATTTTACTGAAGAAAACTTGGGGACCATTTCCTTTTATTTACAGCATACATGCAAGGAAAAGAGAAACAGGGAGACAATAAACCTTCCCCCATTTTCCTCTATGTACCCCCCGGGAACTATCTGTTGTTTCCAGGTGAAACCTCCCATCAGCCTGGGAAACTCAGATGTTTATCTGTTGGGTCTGGAGGATAAGTGGTAGGGAGGAGTTGAGGTTAGCGCCTCACCCACCAAAACTCTACCTGGGAATGTTTTTTTTTTTTTTTTTTTTAACAGGCTGACATTTTTCTTCAGTAATTTGGAAAGTAACTGGTGTTGTACATATAATGGTTTGTTTAGAGTCTCATCTCAAAGGGATTGATATACCATATGAAACCACAGCTTGTATTTTTCTAACATTGGACAAATGTTTCTTATATCATGAAAGGCTGATATTATATTTAAGCACTTTTTTTATTTTATTTTTGTATGATTCTGATTAATTTGGCAAATATATTTTGTCCATATTAGTTTTATTGCTGGGTGTAGGAGCTGTGGCTTTCTAGTTAGAGCAGGGCGCCTCCTTCCTGCAGAAGGCTGCGCGTTTCCTGGTTCAAATCCCTCAGACTACTACTCTTGGTCCCTAAGCAAGGGTGCATTTAACCCACTTCTCCTAATAGGGAGGGTTAAATGGAGGGCCACATTTTATTTTAACTTCTAATGACACATAAAGATAATTACTATAATTGAATGGTGAAAAGTACAAAGTACTTTCATTCATAGATAAAAAATATACTTACTGTAAGATATCAGCTCGTGTGTGTGTGTAGCCAACACAACGTGGGGGATGTTCAAAGGGGCTGCTTCACATCTTCTGCCTTCAATGGTTGTCTTTATTTTAAACTGTTTGATGCACGCACAAATGGCCTCACATATTGACAAACACACTTCATTGGGACCAGCCTACTTGTCCTGCAAACTGCCTGGCAGCAGGAATAAACAAAGGGACGTCTCTGCGCTGTTGGCTGCGCAGCTCACTTTGCAGTTTAAAGAGCTTTTGTTTTTATATACATCGATTGAGCAAAACAGAGTTTGCTAATTGTTTCCTTATTTCTTTAATAGCTTGTTGTCGCTTAGCAGCCTTCCCAAGTTTTTCCATAAATTAAAGTCAAATGATTTGTGATTAGCAAAATGAGATCGCAGCTGACTTTAAAGCTAAATATTTCTTAGAATGATCTTCTTTATGAGACATTAAGCTCTTGTTAAACTAAACCAATTAGCTCTAAGTCTTTTTTATCACATCAGCCTTTACACATTGTCTTGTCTTTTAAAAGACTTTTAATAAACCCTTAAGAATATATTACTTCATTTTTTGTTGGTACCTGCTCTAATCACTAGGTTACTAAACCATCTGTACTGTTCAGTGAGTTACGATAATGTCTTATAAACAATCTTTGGGAGGGCTATGAACTTCTGACCTGGCTGTAACCTGTATTAGAAATCCACTCCATAGAAACTCCACCAGGAACCCAGTGCAAACGGATGTATTGATACAGGACCGCCTTCAGTGTAAATACAGCCCTCAATGCACTCATTGGGAAAACTGTTGCTGATTAAAACCATGCAAACACTCTGAGGAAGTCGCAAAACAAAAAGGCGGGGGAGAGTGGAACAATAAAAACCAACTGGGACTGCATGGCTAATTAGCTTTTGTGACAGAATGTGATTGAAGACGTTCTTTTCTAAAAGAATGTGATTTTAGTTTTTATCTAGAGGCAACAAATGCTGCTGATACCATCCCTAACTCTGTTCGATCCATTTGTTCTTCTCCTCAGGAACTGGTGTCCTCACACAGTAACTAAGACGGTGACCTGCCAGGTACAGAATGGGACAATCCTCCAGCGGGTCTACCAGACCTGCCGCTGGCCACAGGGATGCTCAGGAGGCAGGTGAGGTTAGAGGGATATTCTGAACCTGGTCCTGCAACACCGTTACAAATCCTTTACTTTTCTGTCCTAAACAGCCACACAATAAAGCAATTATCTGCTGTTGTTTTATGGAGTTTAATTTTATAGCTACCAGAGAAATAAGCCATGAGGTCCATAACTGAAAGAGGCTGAAACTAAAGATTTTTCTTTTTAATGGTTCAGTCTTCCTGTTGTCTGTTTTTTACAGGGTTATTTCTTTTTTCTAAAGTGAGATTTTGTGAAAAAATTGCTGATAATAGTTTCCTCTGCTGTAGTAGAGATGACATATCCTTGCAGGAAAATTAAGGAAACTCTTGCACAGGATAGATGTCGGAAGGATTTTAGTATCTTTATCTTTAATAAGCTGAACTAGTGGTGTGTCTGAAAAGTTTTTATTCACCGAGATGTCAAAAGAAGTTTTTACAGTCCAACAAAATATAAATGCAATCTCTTAAGGCCTTGCTCTCTCTCTCATTCTCTCTCTTATTCCTGAATTAACTACTGGCATGCCCTCAATCTCCTTTTAGATAGCTTCTGACAGTTTTGTACTTCCTCACTGATAGGAAAAAATTAATTTCTGTTATGAGAAGGGTTACAGGGTCCAAACCAAACCGTGTTATTATCTATGCCACCTGTTAGCTCTTACATATGGTACATTTAGTCGATTTAGGTGATCACCAGCTAGTGCCAATCAAGGGCTAACTTGTTTGTGTCCACTCACCAGCTGTATTCTCATTGCCTATAATGTGGAAAACAAATAGACACGGCTTTTACTGTCAACATTTTATATTGGGCTAAACTGTAATTAGCATCTAGCTAAATTTTCTTTTAACATTTATTTTGAAACCCCAAAGATGGACATGTAAAGTACTTAACTATAAAATGAAAATGCTCTATCAAAAAACACCTACTTCTTATCAGTTGTTACTGGATGCATGGATGGATTGATTTTCTATAACTAATAAGTCCTGTAAAAATAGGATCCTCCACACCCAAGGTTAATTTTAGACGGAGTTGTTAACCTTACTTGTTGAAGCTTTTTTGGATGGTCGGAAGAAGATTTAATCCCAGAAAGAAAATCATAAACTCCACACAAATGTCCTGGCTGCGAGAAAAATTTGCTAATACCTTGCCCCTTGGCAGCTATTGCTTTAACATACCGGTACTTATACAAATACAGTAAATGTAACACAGATTAACTTGAATATATCATATATGCATTGACAATTATATGTTAGTCAAGTGGTGCAAACACCTTACAGATACATGCAGATACAGATAGATTAAAGATACAGCAAATACATAAATGAGAACAGCAAACACAAAACTTGAGCAAACACTGCAAAGTTACGCAAAGGAGAAATGCAGCAATTACAGAAAATAAAGAGCGACAAAGTGCAAACATGCTGCAGAATACAAAATCCCTGCAAACACATAAATTATGCTAAATTACAACACACACAATAAGAGAAAATGCTGCAAGACGCAAAAACAACTGCAAAGCTGTGAATTAGTTACGCATAACCAGATGGAGACAAACATTAACTCATATGTAATGGGATCCATATTAAAGAAATCAATGGGGAAGCTGGGATTTGTAAATGTTTAAAAAGATTAAAAGGAAAACATAAACTATTTTTATTTCATCCAAATGTCCTCTTTATGGTCATCTCATAAATGTTTTTGCAACAGATCTGGTTTTTAGACCTCGTAATACTAATCACTAATAACTAATCACCCTCAAAAACTGGCAACAGCGTAAGATTACTTGCAATATAACACAGTGCGTTACTTCAACTCAATCAATCAAAGCGACCTTTCATGAGCACAGTCTCTCTGCAGTGGGGAAAGATTTTCACTGCATCCACCAGCAGCAGGGAGCTGAGGTACGCATACTGTATGTGATGCAGATTGGCTGAGAGGACAGCATACAGCATTCCTAAAGGAAGGTGCAAACTGAAGATAAAGTCTAAATGTTCTTTTGTTTATTATTTGAAGGAACAAATATTTATATACATTGGTTCGAAGCAACTTCAATCCAAACAATCTCCTCACATCATCTCACTGACAGCTGGCTGCACTTGTCGCTCTTTATGTAAAGGTATTGTGGAGGATTTTCACGAATTTTTCACAAGACCCGCCCTCTCCACTTTAGAAAAAATGCGCATGCAAGAGCATGCACAAGTCCATTTCTCCTCGTGCAAGCTCTGTTTAAAAGTTGCTGTTCTCATAGCTCATACAAGCTTACTGTGCCCGAACGTCCGCTCTAACGCCTAAATCCCTCAATCACTATATAGAGCAGGGACTATACAGTTGACTTTATAGCGAACTTAGTTAACTGAGCGTTCGGACAGATGACCAATGCTTCTTGTTCCGTTGGTCACGTAACTCCTCCTTCACTGGGCGGTGCCTGCGCCATCTTTAATATTAGTCGCCGCTGTTGGGTAGCGACAGCTCATGGTGACAGCAGGCTGCTACAGTATGCTTTGTGAGGAGAGCTCTCTGTGCAAAGCATTCTGGGATATATCTGCCTCTTCTGACACTTTTCTGTTCTTCTTATACACTTCGTAGAAACTTTTTTTCTTACGATCCTTGGACATTTTCTAAGAGCCGTGGTGAGAGAGGTCAGATTAGATGACTTTCTGAAACCATAGTTCACCACACATATACGTCTGAAAGTGCGCATGCACAGAAAAATAAAGGTAACGGGACGAGCAAGTAGGACGGCCTTACGTAAACATTTCACCAGAATGATTGACAGTTAGGAGGACCACTTACTTAGATGATCCACCCAGCAATTTTAATTCTATAACAGTGCATTTCATTTTTGTTAAAATGCTTAAAAAAGTTCTTTTTCAGCTTTACTTTTATTTTATAGCCAGCTAAAGCCTCTCACTGAGCAAAAATATAAAGTTTTAAAACATAATTGGTTTGCTTGTTAAAAAATAATCCTACCAGCATAAACACATTACAGCTTTCTTGTTCCATCACACACACCAAAATGTTTTCAGATTGGTAATCTGAAACTACTATAAAACTTACTATATTTCATCTTTGAACTTCCGGTTGTTATCCAGATTCTCCTACATTTTAGATCATAAAAAGTAACAGGAAGGATTCTTTTTGTGCAGTAACTGAGTTACTAATTAAGTGTAAAGTGTTTTGAGAAATAACTAGTTACTAGAACTAGTCTCCCCCTAGTGGTCTGGAACACTGGTTTGCAGCTTTTTTTTTAAAGACTTGCAGCTGTTTTTGTTTCTTCCTGTGTTTCTTCTTTACATATGTTTCTTGTGTTTGTGGTTTTGCATAATTTCTGCAGCAAATTTTTGTGTTTACACCTTGTTTGCACTTTACTACTCTATCATTTCCCCTTTGTGACATTTTTCCTTTGCTTTGTGTGTTTGTCTTTTTTTTTTAGTTTTTGTATTGTTTGCAAGGCATCTTTGTATTTGCAGAACTTTTTGAATTTACTTGCCCGTGTGATAAACCATACCAAAGTTCAACCTTATCCAGACATCATTAGACATCTTTAAATTTACTGGTTTTTTCTCTCTTTTTAAGTCACATTAAAATGTTGTTTAGATGTAAGCCACCTTTATCTGTTACATGTCTATTCAGTTACATTTGGTGGGGGGTTGGGATATCGTAAGCCCTTTTGTTACAAGTGTGCTCCTAAGAAATCTTTGTTTGAAGGACGAGATTGTGCACTCCCCTACGGCACCCCCATGTTATAAAAAGAAGGGCCCCTCCACCCATTTAAAAACACAGGGAGAATTCAGCCTTATTGCCTCATTGTTCCTCTTTTTGAAAAAAACATAATGGAGACAGTGCTAAGGGTAACTAGACTGACACAACATTTTAGGAGAAATTGACAGGGTTTCCAAAAGCAGAAGGATTTTTAAAACTTCTGAGTGTAGTTACTTATGAGTTACCTAAATAAATAACTATGTGTTGTTAAAATAGATATCATGCCATCTGTGTAAGAAAAGGTTGATGCAAAATATGGTTTAAATATTATTTAAATAAATAAATAACAGATAAACGTTTCTGTATTTCATCTGGTTTTCTTTCTATCTGCTATAGTCTTGTTTTTACTTGCAGCCTGAGTAAATATATGCCTTGTTTGTGCTCCTTATGTTAAAGAGTTTGAGTAAATTATGTAAAATAATAATAAAAAAAAAGTAGACCAGATTCACAAACACATCATGTATGTCAGAATAAACAAACTTACATTTACACCTAAATGTTTTGAATGATAGTTTATTATATGTGTTTTTTCAGCTATAAGACAGTTGTGAGACCATCGTACAAAGTGGTGTACCGCACTGTGACCTCGCTTGAGTGGAAATGCTGTCCAGGATTTAGTGGCACTGCATGTGCAGAAGGTAAGAGATATTTAAAGGAGGATTTTCAGGAATATGGAAACTGTGATCTTTTTTTTACTGTCCCTTTTCCTTTCTCCTCTTGCTTACTCATCTGTCCCAGTTTTCCTATTTTTTCATTAAAGTCTTATACCCGGAACCCAATATGTGCCCTCCAATGTGCTTGTGCAAGTAATACTTTAGAACAGGAGTGATTTCCATTAAGCTTATATAAGGCAGCCTCTGTCCTTTTAAATGATGTTACGAAATAAGACGCTGTGGCCTCTTCAGGGTGAGTCAAATACCTCGGCTCTGTTAATCAGATGTAATGTCTTCATTCCAGCAGTAAATTTACCCCGTCAAGGCTTATTCTTTTCTGCGGTTTTCACTTTATGATCCAGCTGGAACCAACTCTTTAACTTCTTAAAGTGCCATGCTCCCAAAGCTGTTTTCATTTCTCAGTCCACACACACACACACACACCCACTTGTAGTGTATAATGACTTTCCCTGGCACTAGTCAGGTCTTGGCCGTCTGGAGAGAAGGGTGGGGCACCTGTTTATGTCGTGACCCTGACCTTGAATGGGTGTAACATAAATTGTCAGGCAATGCATGACAAAGGACAATAAATGTTTACAGTGGTTAAAATGGTCAATTTTTGTGGTGCTAAAAGCAGAGTCTGCAGACATTTTTACACTCACTCTCCCAGGTGAACCCTCCCTCTGGTCTGCGGTCTGCTGCTGCAGCATGGCCTCAGCTGAAGAAAAATATCTCCACTTTTCTTACTTGCTTCAACTTGCACACACCAAAATGGCTCAAATACATTGCTGTGTTGAAACTCTTCCCAATCCTGAAGTTGAAAAAACACATTCTCTGTCAGACAGACCAGACTTTACTTAACAAAAGGAGAAACACACAAAGTAAAACTGGGAGGATATTATCCAATTAAGTTGTTGCTAGAGGAGATTCCCCATTGGTTGTCATGGCAGTGGGGGTCCATCGAGCCGGCAGGGATGCTGGGATTAGCTACTTATCGGAGCGTCATTCCGGGTGGCTCAGATCACAGAAGCTGCTGAGTGGGAGTGACAGCTCCTATTCACGGGGCTTTTACTTTTCTACTCCGTGGATGCCATCCAAGGCCACCGGCACTTTGTTCTGCTCCTGCCTCAGGAGCAGAACCCCATGCCAGCACAGAACCTGATACCCCCGCCTGCCCCGTTCTGTTCCTTGAGAAGAAAGTAAGGCTTGCTGCCTTACGGGCAAAACAGGAGGCCAGACCTTTGAGGTCTGTAACCACAGTGTTGCTAAGTGACTCCAAGGCTGCCCTGGTGATTAAATGGGAAATTGGAAATCACATCTACTGAAAACAGGGTGTGCTTTTAACTACTAGCCACCATTTGACGTCATTTTCTATATTTCCTCTATGAGCAACTTTTATATGGTCTCAAAGGCCTTGAATACTCAATTGTCAAATTAATAACAGTCTGTTAATGTTAAAGACATCACTAGCTGTGGATTTTAATCACTGTGTATTTTGCTTACAAACAGCCAGATAAATTTCCATGGCATTCCAAAATTAGAACCTCACTGTAGTAAAAGGTGTATCTCAATAAGTCTTTTAGAGTATCATGGACTGGAATTCACTGAGATATACACGCAGGCCTCTTCGTTAGCTACATCTTGTAAGTAGTGGGTTGAATCTGTTTGCCACAGTGCTTCCTTATTCTTTAGTGCAATAGTTTCAACAAAGTTGCGGAAACATTCTTCACAGATTACTGTCAGTATTGACATGGTACCATCACACTGCTGCACTCTTCTAGCCATTCAAGGTTGAAAGTAACTGTCCCATCCGATACATTTGGTACTCATAGGACTGTGATCTGTTGTGAGTCAAGGCCACTCAAAGCATGCAAAATGAATAAAAAAAATCTAATCAAGCAACCCCCCCAGGGCCCTCATACTAGTGGGGGTATGTAGATTGAATGAGGAAGGGTGCAGGATGAAAACAGGGATGATGGTAGACAAGGGGTTAAAGAGGGGTGCAGCTTGTTAAAGCAGAAAGCCATTGGTAAACAGTCTATTAAAGCAGAGTCTTATACCCCTTTCCATCTGGTCAAAAAAACTTTTTTAAACCTGAGAACAATTAGCTTTAAGTGGCAGTGGGAACAGCTCACTGACACGTGTTTACCAAGACCAAAGAACTCGGCAAACAAACCGAGTTAAAATTGCCTTTAAACGACTCGACTCTGATCAGCATACAGTGGAAATATCAGAGAGGGTTTCGGACAGATAGAAGAGCGAAACAATAAAGGTTACTTACTACGCCCTGGCTTCCTTACATGTTGCTTTCCAGTGTTTACTTTCCTGATATCTGTCACAATGGTGACATCATCAAAGCTAACCCAGCGTGATGGTGTCACCAGACATGCAGCTTGCCAACAGGGGTTAGACCCAGCTTTTTTGCCGATGGGAAAGGAGTCAAATGCCAATTGGTAGCCAGTTGAGTCATGTTTGCAAAACCCGGGATAACCTGCTAATTTCAGAGACTATAGATGATGATTAGCCATGGCAGAGGTGTGCAGATGTGCAGATCAAGCAAATCAATTAAACAGACAGAAATCATTAAACAGTAGTTGACCTTACCATGTTGCCTGACCTACCAAAGATGTCAAGAGGGCATCAACACCTCATCAAAAAGATCATGAAATAATCCAAACCACTGCAGGCCTCCCTTTCCATGTCAGAAACAGTGTTCATGATAACAAGAAAAGAAAGAGACTGGGCAAAAGGACATACTGGGCAGAAATCAAGACCAAAGCCAATGCTGGCCCAAACATAATAGAACTCTCTCTTATATTTGCCAAGAAACATCTTGGTGATTCTTAGGACTTTGGGCAAAAATACAAAAAAACATTCTCTAACCAGGTAAAACAAAAGTTGATCTTTCTGAAAGATTTATTGGCAATAAGTCTGATGTAAATCTAATTCAATATATTACCAGGGGAACATTATGTGATGGCATTAGACCTCTTTGCTGCTTCATGACCTGGAATATTTGATGGATTTAATTAATATGATTTTTAATTCTACTTTCTTCCAGTAAATCTTAAATGTGAATTTCTGGCAAGGATACTTGTTATGCAACTAGACAATGATGATCCAAAGCACACCAGCAAAGCTTTCTGTGAAAGGCTGAGAAAATGAAGGTGTTGAAGTGGCTAATCAGACTTGGCAAAGGCTTATTGCACAGGCTGGCTCTGGGAGCTTTTCCCCATTAACAAATACGTCACCTGTAGAAAGAAATTGTATTTACTCAGATCCATCAAACATATAATATGAGCTGAAACTCAAGTGTAAAGAAATAAAAAATGGGAGATGCTTCAAGACTTTGAGTATGCAGGGCTTCATTTGGGGACCTTTTATGAAAATGTAACAAATATAAATTTTGGTCTCACATATAAAGTTTAGAGAAATGAATTACCAGATGCAGTATATTTAAAAAAAACAAAAAACAAATACAATATGCTTTCTTTGTTAGTGTCTCTACCTTTCTTTTTCCAAACTAAACTTAGATCTGGGATGGCCTAAATTATGCGCCGTTTGGCTGAAGGAGAATTATGTGGCTGATACTCCATTTCAGGTTAGACAGGACCAAAATGTTTCTACAGCCCTTTAGATATAAGACTTGTTTTCACATGGAAACTATCAACCCTATTTGTCAGCACGCTCAACAAGTCCAGTCTGTGTTAAAGATAACATGACTCTATTAGAGTTTTGGATTGTTTGTCTGTACAATCTGAGCAGGAGCGTGCAGAGATGGCCTTAAGTCAAGAGTCACTAAGGTGCCAAATTTTGACCCGTCACACCAGAACTAGAGGCTCTATGATCCAAAGATTACATCACACATTTACTGATACACAAAAGTTACCCCTTCAGAAAGCGATCAGGGGAAAATAATACTTCATAATGAAGGCATCTTTCATATAAGCGTTCTTTCTCTTTTCTCTTTCACCCCAAACTCTGTACTTGGCTGGAATTCCAGGTCACTGGTGTAATTACTTGGTCTTAATTATTTTCTATGAGGTTGGGAAATATTGTCTTACTTCTGGATCTGGAACACAATGCTATTTATCACTGATTGAGCCAAAAGAAAAAAAAAGGGGGGGGCTAAGTATTTGCAGATGGAAGCACTTTCATTGCATGCCAGAAACAGGGATTTTAATGTATGCCTGTTTAGCTTTTGCATGCCAGGATAGTAAATGGCCGTTTTCAGTGGGGATATCTCAGCTCATGCCACATTTAACACAGATATTGAAATTGCACCTCATTTAGAAGCAATCCTGTTATGAGAATATCAAATTTAGCTCCTTAAAAGCAACATTATTATATTAAAACTGACTTGAAATTCCTGAGGAAAAGATGAAGAGTAATTGCACTCTCAGTAGTCATGTCTGTGAATTTATTAGGTCAATATTTTAGATTTTTTTTCTTTCCAACTGCAGATTTGATGGATCTTAAAAACACTTTATAAAGGCAACACCTAATATGTTGGTGTGAATACTGATTTATCGACCAACAGTACTTGAGAGGAACATGTTTGCAGCCTATTGTGGGAGGAGACCATCATTCATGGGGGAATGTAGAGTTAAATTAGCACGGCTGTCAAATCTTAGCAGGTTTTACAGAAGGAATTGGGGGGTAGTCATATCTCGTCACCAAGCGGAGGCTGCAGTTTTTGGGTCACAATTATGGTATAGCCAGGAGGCAGATGAATACGGACTGTAATAAGCTGGAGAAATGTAATCTGTGTTTTCACAGCTTAACGCGGCTTATCTCAGGCCTGCACGCTCAAGCACCGCGCTCCAAACATCAGTCAGCTTCAGCTTGCTGTTTGCAAAGGAAGAGTGGCGGTGCGTGGATGGCGACGTACAGTATGTGTTTGCCAGAGTCAGCGTGTGGGTGGGAGAGCGAGGTGTTGAGGATTTATACAGTAAGGGATGCAGCTGTTGTCTGTGATTAGTTTCTTTAGTGGCTGCAGGCTTTAATAGCTGTGAGTGGAGGAACTC